AGATTCTCAGAAGAGTGGATATTGAAATCTTTTAATATTCTTTCCGAAAGTGCAACTTCAATGTATCGATCGAGTTTTGATGTATATCATGGTTCAATGATTGCTCATCTACATTTTATGTGACATGCAGTAATTCTGATCCCCTCTGGCGACTATAATTCTTARSGTTAAAACAATAGTAAGAATGTTTTAGTGTGGCGTCATAATGAAATGCGCCAATTGACTTTCGATAGGGTATGGATTTGAACCTCCACTGATCTATATCATGGGGTTTGCTGCTGACATCTGAAAATTGCAGTGTTTTTYCRATACTCGTTTTATGGTAGCAATAAACCCCATGACCCTAGAAAATCTCTCAGGTTTAGCATCTCATCATTGACCAATGCAAAGTTTAACCGAAAAACCAGTTGCACAAGATARCTCTAGTGCGTGCTTTGTAAAGTGATTCGCGAGTGGTCAGATTGTCCCGTTTATTTCAAACTRTTGTTTCCTGACTTTCCCCAAGAATTTTATGTTTAGTTTTGGAAACAAAAATAACGGAATCATATTTTTYGGGTATAAAGATTCTACCTCTAATCTTACCCGATAAAACATGTTATGTTAAGACCCGTTTAAACCATCCAACTTGTTGAACCAAAATTGTTATCCAAGTTGGGTGAAGTTGGCAGGTGTTTCATCGAGTCCTTAGTGTTATATTATAGTGTTATATTATTATATTGTCTTTCTAAACCCGTGAAATAAAACATATCGGTTGTTTTGTATATTTGATTATTGTCTAATCATGATTATTTTAAGATTTTATTTCACTTGTTCATAAAAGTCATCCTTCCAATTTCCAGTCTCCATCGTCACTGTTTATCTACCCATATTCCCTTTCGGTCTATCTATCCTCTAAAGATGAGATCGACGAACGCGATCAACAGACAAAAAACTCAAAGTGAACTATATATATATATATACCCTGAAGTGGATTATTTGTCGTGGTAGTATTTATGGAAAAGCACTATTAAACTTTGTTTTTATTTTTTTATTTTTTATTAGTGCTGTGAAATGTGGTAAAGACTTATTAGGTGTTATGGAGCAAATTAATGCAAAATATGAGTACTGTACTGTTATATCCTAAATGTTAACGTTTTTAATGGAGATTAATGCAGAAGGAAATATTTTCCCACCGAAAATGTGCGTGCACGCAGGTTTCCAGCATTTCTGTRATCACAAGCGGACGGAATGATTACGGGATATCGCATAGTGCTAACGACATGAAAAGCACTGGATCGAAAAAAAAMCATAGTCACTGCACAGCACGACTTCGCACGAGAATACTCTATAGTTTTCTAATACTAATTGAGCTCGCTTAGACAGAGCAACTTTTTATGGTAACTATTATRTTACCTTGAACTTATCGTTCAAAAACGYCAATAATAACAACGGSTTCATAGTCTATAGTTTAGAGAAGGATTTCCRCATGAAGAAAATTTTTTTCAGATTCAACATTCTAGTATTGCTTCACCGTCCACAATTGTTAACTTTTAGTTTTTAATATTGAAAGACTCAAGGTCAATTGGAAAGAAAACTCTCGAAGGAAAGACTTTAAAAACTGAGTCCTAAATTTCGTAAAAAAATTCTTTCGAAATTAGAACTTATTCCAACAATGTTGCAATGTTCTCCAATGAATTGCTTTTTCTGAATCACGTCAATATACATTGTTATTTTTAACTTCATCTGACGTGAAAGTTACGCTGTGCACAAAGCTGTTTTTATGCCCATATAAGCTTATTTGTTTCCGCGACATCTTTTCAAAATTTTATTTCGTGCTAACCCAATGTAAAATTCTATTAACTGATTTAGAAAGACAATTGTAAGTTTTTCCCCTAATTAAAATRAATACACAGAAGCCTTATATGGTGGCGAAACGATTTCGTGAATAAACTTTGTTATTTATTTGTTCTTTGTTGTGCGTAAAAAAGAACTCGGTTGGAAGGCACATCGTGGCTTTATGGCATCTTTCCGCTCGACTATMGACTCTTTGAATTGTTGAGGCTACCACCATCCATTTAAATTTACMGTAATTCTTTTKGGGGGAGCATTCGGCGTGGGTTTTGGGTTTAACACGAATTTACATGGCTTGTAGTAATCTTTAATCAAGTGATACTCATTCAAGAATGGCTTCTAGAATCTTATCTTTAAATCCTTTTGGAAGGTACACTTATGATGTTTCCAAAGCGTGGGTATGTTGACAGAAAATTTCATTTACTGAAGCAGTTTCTTATTTAATTCTTTTATTTTTTAGTAGTAGTATTTTTGTATAACGAAGGAAACTCTTGCACTAGTTAATTCAAATTATAACAACATCAAAGTCAGTTTTCCTTGGCATTCACAGATTAATAGTTGTCTCTTTAGTCTATTAGCGTAGTAAATTTTACTTTCTACTTTGCCAAATAATTTGACACTTGAATAATGCTCGTTTCCATTTTAAAGTATTATTATTTTTAACAGCGGCAACGGAATAAAAAGCTACTGGGTCATGTTTGGTACATGCACGGCATTTATTTTTTAATACAACCACCAACAAAAATGGCGCAAGCAAATCGGACATAATACAACAATTGCCATTTCTCTCTTTATTTTAGATGTAAATAAACGTAATTACTAGTGCATCGGTTAACTAGTATGAGCTGCGTCGGTGCTTCTATAGAAACTTTTGTGCAGTGAGGTAAATTTTAATACCGTTAAAAAAACTAGGTGAAAGAAATTATTGACGTTTCGGACGTTAATTCCTCATCGGAATAAAGTAATAATAATAATGATAATTTKACTTTGTTGTTTCATATCTTAATTTATAGAGTTCCCCTTTACGATGTTCAAAGTCAAAAATAATATATTAACTATAATAAATTGTAGTTACCAGTTGTACTTCAGTTAATGACATTTTCTGCGGATATGCTAACAAAAGCAATTTTTACAGGCTCCTGTTGTGAAGGAACTCAGACAACGTCATGGAAGCAGCAGTGATGACTTAAGTGCTTCATCAGATACTTTTGCGTCGAAAACACAGTCGCTACCAGTCCTCACGTCACCAGGGAAACTACGAGATTACGAATCTACTGAAGAAGGTATGTGATTTACGGACAGTAAAAGGGACAGACCATTTGATTTTTGTCTGGGTTAGGTCTGATGTTTTGTTGGGAGGATATTAGGGACCAGTCATTATTTATCGCCTGGAGGGGGTGGGGGGAGGATTGTCGGGGGGATCAGTCGACTTTCGGGAACGCAAAAGGGGGATTAGTCGAAAATAATAACGTAAAAGGGGGGATCATTCAAGAAAGATTCCTTATTGCCCAATATAATTTCAACATACTACTGAGTTTCATAAGAAGTGAGAAATACATAAAATTGTAAGTACTTTTTAGACAGTGTCAAATCCTTCATTTATTTAGTAATTCTACATATTCAAAGTAAAAAATCTATTAATACCAAACCTAATGTCCAATAAAATGTAAATTATATAAAAATTGTGACAGAWACTGCATTCACAAAATGTCAATGGCCAGCTTTGGTCCATTCTTGGTTGCAAAATATTACGGAGGTACAGATTTTAACTTAGAGCGTTGAAAAGATCTCTCAAGAGCATAAGTCATATTCTCATCAAGTATTTGAATTGCTTGCAGTATAAAAATTTAAAATKACATTTTGGCACAAGTTTTACATGTTGTATCATCGAATGCGCTAACCTTACCATCCCTCTTCATGGTCACATCATCTTTGCTTTTAATAATCACGACTACCATTATTATCACAATTACCTTAGCATCACAAATGTTAAAAGATATTTTGTTTTGGTTCTAGCTGGTGTCAGTTTTGAGGATGATCCCAATTCCACGTCGCTTGAGGGCCTACAAGCAGCTCATGACAAAATTAAGCTTGCACCCAAAAGACGGCGACCTCCTTCAAGGAAATCCGGGAGTGTTACTTCAAGTTTGTCGGCCGATTCTCCTCTTCACAAGGAACAAAAGCCGTCGCACAGACGTTCAAAAACTGATCCAAAAGACCTTACTAAGGATCGCCTTGACGTAAGCCTTGATTCAACCTCTCTATCAGATATATTGAACAACACCATCTTTGAAGAGGAAGAGTCAGCAAAGTCACCGCCTGTGACTGTCAAAGAAAAGGTCATCGACGAAAGAAAAGCAGCTATGGATGATATTGCTTCCAGAGCAAATGAAGCTTTGGCTCGTGCGACTGAACGATCAAAAGTCGCAGAGAAAGAGGTCAAGGATACTGTTAAGAAAGATGAAGTGGACAGAACTATATCGACTAAATCTGAGACTGGATCTTCAAAATATACTGAACGAGAAGTCAATAAGACCAATGAATTGCCCAAGACCGAGGCTGAAGTGAAAAAGAAGTCAGAGCAAACCAAAGCTGAGATTTCTGGATCCCAAACGTTTACAGAACAAGAAGTCAAGATCCCACCTAGAAATAGTCAAGATCTCCCCAATAGAAATAAGGGATCAAGAACATCGTTACCAAAACTTGATACGACTAGTCCTATTATGACGTCGCCAGTTGAGTCAGAAGTTAAAAGAGAATCCAAGAGACTTTCATTGGATGAAAACATGAGAAAGAGCTTCACTGAATCCGTCGTTGTCTCCAAATCAGAATCGGATATTTTAAGAGCTGAATTCACTAGCCTACTCCAAAGTGAAGTTGCGGGCAAACTTTGTAATGATGATAAGACGTCTGGGGAATCGAGTAAGGAAAATAGCCCCATAAAGACCACAATGCAATCAGAAACCACCGAAAGCAAACCACCGCAAGTCATACCGAAACCATTCAAACGAGGTAAATCTTGGTCCAATAACTATACACCTAAGCCAATTGAGTTACCTATTAAACACGATAAGGAGGACACCAAGAAAGAAACTATAAACAATAACACTCCAGAGAAAACGAGTAAGAGCAATGACGAAGAGAGCACATCGCCAGTTTCTGAGAAGAAAGATTTTCGATTCAGYAGGACAAAGTCTTGGTCTTACGGTATGAAACCAGGAGACCTAAAGAAAGCTAATGCCGATGGTCTCAATTCAAAAGGAAGTACTAAAGATACAGAAGGATCATCTAGTGATGTCCAGGAAGCGCCTTCCTGGGTTGCAAAGGCAAATCGTATGTCTCAAAGAATCTCTCAGCTGATTCAAGACGACGTGACTTCGGAAGAAAATCAGGTATTTGCTCCATTTCTCTTGATTTCAACAACCTTAATAGGAAACATTGCTTTACTTGAAGGAATGACTTCGTTATTTGCCTACAGATTACCATAAAACCTCCTTAACTCTTTTCTGTCCGCTTTAAGAATTGTTTCTAAAAATTGTAAGTTTCCGASATCGCAAATGAAGACAACCAAATGTACTCCATGTCAACAGCTAGTACCAAAAGTMTATMTTAGAGTTGRAAACATTTCACATCGGGYGCGATATCTGGGCAAAAAGGACCCCTGAAAAATAGGAATGCCTAAATTTCGACTTTTTGCTGCACCGGATAAGGGTGAGAATCACGTCTCTTCGTCTTCAGTTTTAGAGTCGAAATCATCTTTTGCAAATCGAAATTCCAGGTTTTTTGAAATCGGCCACTCCACGTCTTTAGAATTTTGGCTTTTTTGTTTGGTAGTTCTCTCCACAGATCTAGCCGCAGGCCCCTTTTTGAGACCCAGCATAGAAAACACAGATTTCTCACTTGCGCGTTCGAGCTGCATCATGGGAGTAAGGTTCAAACTTGGCAGGGAGCACCCAACGGTCTTGTTTTCGTAGATTTTTTTTTAAGTGTCAAGCCACTCGCACCTACAGGCAAAATATTGCACCGATTGCATTCTTTGGATGTTAAAACTTGCCAATTTTACCTTGGTAGGTTCTGAAATCTGCCACAGAACGACTAAGGAGGCGACCTTTCTCGAGCGTCGGCAATAGATGAGGTGACGGTTTTGTCCGCCATTTTGGACGGGTAGGCATAGTGTCGCAAAATAACAAGGAATGACCGGGAAATCGATGTCAAATGATTCTCGCTGAATTCAAATTCAGAAAGAATTATCATTTGCAAACGTTAGATACTGCAAAAAGGAGTTAACTGGCCAAATTTGAAAGGCGTACTTGATCTAGAGAGCGAGTAAACTCATTTTTAGTTCTCCATACATTTCTTTGTAATTTCAATACATTTCGTTATAATTTCCGGGGTCATCAGTGCGTGACGCGCGTGAAAAATACAAAGAAATGTATTGAGAACTAAAAATAAATTTTCTCGCTCCCTAGACGAAGCACATCCTTCAAATTTGGCCAGTCAGCCCCTTTTTGTAGTATCTAACGTTTGCAATTGATAATTCTTTCTGAATTTGAATTCAGCGGGAATTAAATATTTGACATCGATTTCCCGGTCATTCCTTGTTATTTTGCGACACTATGCCTACCCGTCCAAAATGGCGGACAAAACCGTCACCTCATCTATTCAAAGCTAACTTCGTATTGGCGACATTGTCTTCGAAAACTCGCTTCCCGCTTCTGATTTCTTCCAGAAGAGTGTCTCTACCGCCTAGTCGAGCTTTATAATGCAGTCCTAGGGGCTTCTGTCGCAGCAAATGACTCGAAAAATCACTTAAAAACGGTTTTTGGGCGAATTTGAGAGCGAGTGCTGGCTAATTTAGCGAGCCGTCTCAAATTCGCCAGGCGTCGCTGAAGTARACAAACCCAKAAGAATGTGAATCTACAATAGTTTGATTGACAACTCCTAATATGGGGTACATTTAATATTTTGAAATATCAGTCTCAAAAACAACCTAAATTCAGAAATAAATCACGGACAGGAATGAGTTAAATAGACTGCCTATGACTTACCTCTTTGTTGTTTTTTTGTTTGTTTGTTTTTGGACCCCGAAATTCCACAAATGTCTACGATGAAGGTCCAGCATGGCGATAAAAAATCCTTCTCGTTTAATCATTTTTTATAAAATAAGACACAAATAACTACCAACATAACAAGGCATCAGGGAGAATTCCCATATGGGAATCAATTCTCCCCTAAGATGGCATTTTATCTTTCATGGGAAGTTGCATGTGTACATTGTCCCCTGTTTCCTAATTGTGACAATATCTATTTTGTATATCATTACAGACCCCAACTCTGCCAAAAACACCAGTCGCGAAAGATTCACAGCCAACTAAACCAAATTCGCCCTCAAATCCTGTCAAAGAAAATCCTCAAAAACCAAAGCCACTTACCAAGAAACCATTAATAAACGAAGACAAAAAACCATCCCCAGCAGCCAAACCAAAACCGCCAAGCAACTTTGTGAGAGGCTCAGCGTCGTTACCACGTATTGTTGGYAACAAAGCTAATTTAGAGACTAAAACCGCTCCTACACCAGCAGATCGCCGTAGCGAAGCAACCAAAAAGACGATTGAACCCGAGAAGTCCGTGCAACAAGTTGCCAGATCGTCGTATGGAAATGTCAAGATCGAAAAATGTATCGTTTGTGGYACAACTGTTTATCAGATGGAAAAGTGCAAATTTGATGACTCTGTACTGCATCGGAATTGCATTAAATGCTCAATTTGCAAAAGACTTTTGACTGTTGGGAACTTCGTGATGACCGAGAGCAAGATATATTGTAAGCCTCACAGTCGGGCAGTCGTTGCAGTGTCTACTTAACGTACCACGAATTACATAATATTTCAACGTCTCATACTAGTGATCTTACTCTACAAGACTACATACCTCYTGCTAGTATTAATGATTGTTGTGCAACGTACACTGTGCCAGACAATTTGATAGCGGAATTTCATTTTTCAAGGCTTCYGAGTTTGGCCGTCTTAAGAACGTASAGTGTCACAGAATTATCTTCAGTGGTGTCACGCTGTCCACAACGAGAAACCGAGGTTTGCGACACTTTTGTGACTGATATTTGTTAGTCCACRGTATGATATTAGTAATGTTTTTGCATGCACAATCGTAATGCACTGTTTAGTGTGCATTACATGAAACAATRGACAGACTTTTTTTCTTTGACTAGTCTACAACTGCATGGACCCGGCTCTTTTTTGCCAAGGTGTGCACAAATATCATTAACATGATTTTGCTAGATCGTATGATCGARGTTTTTTAATTGATTGAAGCCGTTAAAAGCTATAAAAAAATACTTAAAATCGACATTTTAGATATAGACAAAATTAACAAACCATCATGAAAATATACTCATTAGATAAGACTTTTCAAAACCAGAGCTCATGAATGTCAACTCTGGTCACTACGTACATTTTCTTAGGTGATATCTGTTAGATCTAGTGCTGTTTGATAACGTCCGAGACATCAATCTAGCAAGCAATAGATGTTTCAGCTTTGCACCGTCACTTGATTGCGGCAATGCTTACCCATGCAAAGAAACAMAAAAATTTCCAAAAGAAAGGATAATTTTTGCGCTACATAACAGGGATGGCATTCTAATGTCATAGTGCAATGGCCGCTATCACTTGACAGTGAAAAATCTCTATAAATTCAAAGCTGATGTAAGAAAAATAACACGGAAGAATGTACTTCCATCAAAGTATTTTTCCATACAGTACGAGTCTACAGATAATTTTGAAAAATGATTTTATTTTTCTAATTTATACGACAAAGWTGTTCATCTATATAATCTTTAATAGATGATTTATCACAATTCGCAAAAAAAAAACACATTGTAGGAGTGGTCAGTAACTTATATACAACAATTTCAAAAAGGATGTCCAGCCGAGAAAAAGAAAAGTCACTTGAATCTTGCCAAATTGAGCTGCGGTTATGTTTCAATTGCCCTATCGCAATATGACGTCACMGTTCGTTCTCAATGAAAACAGAAATTTGGACCCATTAACATTATATCCGAAGGTGGAAATATAATTTATTTTAGTTTTTATATATGTCATGCATCGATGATGCATTTTCGTTGATATACAGTCACTGTTCCCATATACCCCATAGCATAAAAAAAATTATAAAATGTTTTAATGTGGCATTATAATGTGATAGGGCAATTCAAAAACGCAAYGTATGGTGTACCTGTTGAAAAAAATCGATCGTGGGAGGGACTAATGGCGACGAACTGGGAATTCTTAAAACTGGTGTGTGACGGAATTATATGCTTATTACATATCTAATGATGTAACAACAGTTCAAAATGAGTTCCTGTTTTCCTGAATCTTACTAAGTCGACAGTTTTTATTCACCAGTCTCCGACAATGTTTTTAGTGCCTGTCAACTGAATTTCCTTTTTGAGAATGATGGTGTGAACAAATGAATTTAATAGCGACAAGTAAGCAGCATGATTGTATCAAATAAATACTAAAAACAAATTTAMATGTATTCAATATATTTCTTGCTTGACTAAAATACTATTACTATTATATTATTGTACTTATTATCATCGCCCCTAAGCGCGTGCGCGATTCTGCGAATCTAAAAACTATATATAATTGCGAATGGTCATATACGTATAATTACGTAAATGGTTCTCAATCCTAGTATCTGTTCTTCTCATTGTGATCCAACATTAGACCAAAAAATTTCAAAACGTGGTACTGGATTGGATGTAACTCGAGGTTGTTAATWAACACACGCAATATTGCATGAAATCCATATCCGATTGATTTTCTTCTCCCACGACATTGACAGATTGTTTGTGATGAGTTGTCACTTGCATCGGAAAGTGGGCTGATGACTCCAGCATAATTGCGCGTGAATCTTTCTTTTCCTACGCATAGGAATTAGAGTTGATCACCTGCATGTTACGTAATGTTCCTATATGCTAATGACTTCGACGGAAGGGAAATTAAATGAAATATATCACAAAGGGAAAATTATCGAACTCACACGTAATACAAAATGCATCTCAATTTTTACATACATTTTCTTAATTGACTAGACACATCAATATTAACTGATCTAAAATATTAAGATCATTCGAAAATTCTTTGATGATTCAACAGCGTCAATATTCAACTGTTCAAATGCGCAAGACGGTTTTATGATTCAACTATTTACCTATTTTTCGATCTGCAGAAAGTACTAAACTGTCCTAAGGACTAAACAAGGACTACTACTTAAAAATAGCAACAACATATTTTTAGAGACAATAAAACATTTATTTCTTTACATAGCTTTGAGCGAAGTCTCTTATTTTACAAAACGTTTTGTGTATATGAATAGATGTTGTTATTTCTATGATTTATTTTTTTCTTAGTTTCTTTGCACTGTCAAGTGTAGCACTGTCAAGTGTAGATTGTTTTTTTTTTGTTTTTTGTTTTGTTTTGGTTAACGACATTGATCGATACTTTGTATTAATCTTTTTTAGAACAGTTAGAAGTGTCTTTAAGTCGTTTTGAACCACACACGGTCGACAGTGAAGGCTGTACAGGAAAAGAGCAGATAAAGCCTCTGGCTCAATCACCTTGTGGCAGCTTCCACAAGGAATCAAAATACCATTTTACTAACCCACAACAAAACGACTGTGCGGCATTCCATGCGGCATTTGAAGCGCGGGAATTCCTTATAAAAAATACTCAAGAGGCAAACAATGTATATATAAAAGATCCTATTCCGGAATCGTGCATGCTGGATTTCTTTCTAGCACTTGATCTCGACATGCAATTCTAATGTTTTCTGTTGCGTTGTCAGTGCGATGGCTCCCACGCAAAAATATTGGCAGAAAATCAATAAGCCTTTCATTCGCAAAATCTTTAAATTTTGTTAGTATGATAAATAACACTATAATACATCTTTTGGCTGCAACAGAGACACAGAATTGCATTACGAGGGCTTGAAAAATATGTAGGCTTTCACCCACTCCCCAACGGACATGGATATTGAAACACTTTGCACGACGACGTTATATAGTATAGGAACGAAAATGCTTTACTCTTCTTTTGTTAAGGTTACTGCTCCCCTTCGCGGGGTGCCCTGTAAAAAAATCATATCTTGGCTTAATTAATAATACCTAAACATAATATACATCGTTTTGAAGCTAACACAAAAATCTAAACGTCTATGACATTGGTGTGTAATAAAAATTAATAAGTAATTTATTACAAATTAATAATAAATAAATAAATAAATAAATAAAGTCTTTTATTTTGAGAGGGTAGCACGTAATAGTCTCTAGACTAATAAACTTGTGGCCCTCTATATATTCACTCATACTCACTACCAGCGGACCTGGAGAAAAACCCTCGGAGCAAGGAAGAGAACCAGCCTACAAACTCAAATCACATATAGTCCCGGACCGGGAATCGAACCAGGACCACAGCGGTGATAGACCGGCGTTTTAACCGCTCGGCCATCCTTGCTCCCCTAATCAAAAATTGAGTCCAAATTTTAAAAAAGTTAAATGAAAAAAGTATTTATTTTTTCAACAAAGTTTGTACNTATGTGTGCAGCCCTACAAAGACGAAGCCTATGGCAAATTTAAAGGCACTGCTCTACAGATGCCTTTTGCCCATCAGTAGTATTGACAGTTGTTTGACTGTTAACTTCAGTCAATAAATGACTTATCTGTTCTTTCCTATCATTTCTTGGAGGTAATTGAGGCACTGGTATACTTATCTCATTGCCTTGCTCTTCTTGCTTGCCATCTTTTTCCACGCTCTTAACTTGACCATTGTCGTTAATGATCGCTAAAAATTCTTCGAGGTCGTATAAAGAGCTTCCTCCACTGGAATCATTCCTTGAGAGTGATGAGGGTGATCGTGTACCTCTGTCAGAAACGCTTGATAGCCTTCTTCTCAATGGCGAGTCATCCGAATTAAGGACCGATAAAAATTCACCAAGATCCAGTAATGATTTGGTACCCCCTGAATCATGTCGAGTGAGTGACCCTGGCGCATCACTAGCATTCTTTTTCCGATTCGTATCATTAATAATGTTTAAAAGCTCGTTTAGCTCTGCCACAGAAGCTATAGAACTACGCTTTCTCCCTGCACCACCCTCTACAGGAACTGCTAAAAATACGTCATCTACACTGCTATTTCCATGCTCGTCTTCAGTGACATTGATCATAACGGAGCTCTGGGATATCTCGGATGGCTTTCTCTGCAAGTGGTTTCCAATATTCGACTGTGATGAATAAAGGGATAAAAATTCACGCAAGTCGTAGATTGAAAGGGACCGCCCTTTGTGATATTCGTCTTTGGGTTTCAATGTTTCAGTCTCATTGTCTGGTGCTTGATTAGGATCTTGAGTGTCATTTCTTTGTTGATTCATTGTAGACGTACTAGGCTGGCGCTTTAGCTCAGACTCTTTCTGAAGAACCCCCAAGAATTCTTGTAGGTCGTATATCGATTCTCGCTTGATGCGTAACGTTGATGGGTTTGAGGGGAGTCGTGGAGATAACAAAGGAGTGGATTGAACACTAGACTCCTTATCTTGCACTTTAGAAAGTGCTCCATTAAGTTTACGAGAAAGACTCAAAAACTCCTCCAAATCGTAGACCGAATCTTTTCTCGTAGTGTCACCTTGGCTAGGACTCTCTAAGRTCTTSGGCGCCAGCGGCTGCGAGTGATTAGGATTGTTATTTATCATAACCTCATCGTTTTGACGAGTCAGGGACAAAAATTCCATTAAATCATAGGCAGATGATCTCCTTATGTCATTTTGTTCGATCATTTCACCAGGGCCGGGAAACAGAAAATGTGAAGGTGATGCATTTCCCGGCGTCACATTTTCACTGCCTCTTTGCTCTTTTCCCCCACTTTTAACATTTAAACTGAGGAATTCCAAGAGATCATAAGTAGAACCTCTTCTATTGTCTGAATTTTCGACTCGAAGTGAAGAGAGAAAATCTGAATTAGTTGGTTCTTTGCCGCTGATTTTCGTTACGTCGTCGGTGCTTTGTCTAGTATCCGACGACATTTCAAGAAATTCTTTGAGATCATACACTGATGAAGAGCTTTTTTTCCTTGCGTCTGTTTTACTCTCTATGTTTAACAACGACAAAATCTGTTCCAGGTCGTATAACGAGTCTCTTTTCGTTTGTGCTTGAGGGATTTTCAATAAGCTGTCTTTCGGTCGAGGAGACGAGTCCCTTGACGTTAGTCTCTTATTCTGACGGCATGTTTTTCCCTTTATGACTAGACCATCCATTGCATTTTCTTCTGTAGATGCTAATTTCTTGCGAGAAATCATAACAGGTTTTCTTTCATTTGAAGAAAATCCATAAATGTCGCCAAGTGAATTGCGCTGCTGGTCTCGCAAGTTCTCCTCATCGTTTGTCAGTTGTATTACTGGTGTGCATGGGCTGCTTTGCGGCTCTGGCGGGAATTCCCATCTGCTCTTTGAACTTTGCTTTTGGAGAGTAACGTTTTTATTAGCAAATTTCATTTTGCTGGATTGTCGCGGATTCGCTTGATTTGTCGCTACTCGAAAAAAGTCATTATCGGCGTGAAATAGCTGGGAATCTAAGCGGCTTTTATCAGACATTCGTGTTGGCGAACCGTATTGTTTTCTGGAGGAAGATAAGTCAGGAGAAGATTTTGCCAGCCGTCTTCCTCTATGAAGCGGTTTTTCTGTTTCTGAAGTGATAAGACTTCCCCTTCGTCTCTTGTATTCGCTATGAGTAGTGCCAAGCAGCGATACCGGCTTAGATCCTCGTCTACCATATCCATAATCCTTATCTTTTTCTGGATGTAAAATCGAAGTTTTTTGAATGTCATCTTCATTCGGATGGGAATCTTTAATGAATTCGTTAATTTTTTTTGTTTTATCCAGTATTACTTGTCTTTTTAAAGACTTACTCCGTCTGCTCCAGTCTTTGTGTCGAATATGCTCATTGTCACTGCTGTTTTTTAAAATATACAAACCATTCTTTTCATTAATTGTCTTGCTTGAAGATTTTGGCGATGCAAAATTGTCAAGATTTTCTTGATGATTTTCCGTGTCACTCGGTTCTGGCGATGCCACAGAACCATCCACGCGAATAATCGGAGGTAACCGAACTAATCCATGAGTTTCTCGACTAAAACTCGAAGTATTCCCCACATGTGACTGATCTTTCCCATTTGAGTCATTTGCGTGCGGTTCTTTCACTCGAATTGGTGGAAGTTTACGATAGGATTGATCACTATTGAAGGTCGAAGCCATTTTTGGACTGGACTGCTAATGACAAGTACGATTTAAGCAACTGTGAAGAGAGGATGTGTTTACGTTTGTCGTATGTTAAAATGAGCCACGAGAATAGAGGTTGTTTTTGAATCTTAATAGCAGTTTACTTTGTAGTCAACGGATTGGTAGTCATGGATGCATGCCGCTAACTTGACAGCTAGTAACATACGWAGCGCTGTTTTGGAGCACGTACAAAGTATGACTGAAGAGCATAATTTAACATGGATATGCTTTGCGAAGAAATAAGTAATCCTAAAAGTCGTATTTTGTATCAATAATCTAAGACYGGATGTTTCTCGTGCAAAGCCAGAGCTGGATGGATGGAATACTAATGAGCAAGTCTATTTTCAAAACACTATGGAGATAGCCCACGTAATAATTACATGACTGATTGAGACCGCAAACAAGCAAGAATCCACTTTTTAGACTTGAAAAATGACGCTTTAATGATTGACAGTCCTTTCTTTTCSTCTTCTTGAACGTTAAGTTGCCTTTGCCATATAAGGAATACGTCAGACGTCAATTATATGCTCAGACTGTTATATGCTGGAATAGTTTGAGAACACAATCAGTTACGCTCCAAGTWAAGTCTTGTTTCGTCTCAAACGGGCCCTAAGGATAGACTGAAAGAAAAAGTATTGGAATTATTATTTAAAAATTAACGCCTTGTAAACGCCGCCTGAGGTACAATGAATTAAAAGTTCAAACCCGCGACAGGTGCTTTGTGTCAATTGATATACTTACCTACCGAAAGATATACCTATATTCCACAGAGATCTTGCAATTGAAACGAGTTAAAATTCATGGCTCTTTTGCATATMAAGTTTGTCATTTAGGCAGTTTKTTTTGAATGACTAATGCATGATTCACAGAAATGGCAATCGTTCAACGAATTTTAAACAGCAGTACCTCGTCATTCAAGGGCATTTTGCAAAACTTGAAAGTCAACAACATTACTACGAGCTATGACTAGCTGTGACTAAAAAACAGCATGAGSTGCTTTATTTGCACTACATCCACTGATGACCGCTAGGTAATTTCCAGATTCGAAAATCCRAACGATTGTTCAGTTTGTGTGATAAATAGTAAACGAGATAGGTTCWCAGCCTTCTCGTTTGCTCGCTCATAACATAAACTGCACTAATCTGCCATAAAGTGTTGCTTTTGACAAAAAAACATGCGCTCTTGTCAATATTCTAAGATCCGTAGGAAGCAGGGAATACAAAACATAGTGTATTATGATTGACTAAGGATGACGACCATCATTTGGAACTCACCAACTTTACAAAACAAGCGCCTAAATATGTTCTTTGACAATGAGATGTTGGACTTATTTTATTGTATGCCACAATGCTTTATATGTATATTAGWAAGATATGAATTGTGAATATCAGACTGTTTTCAAATTTTAAATTCAACAAACTGAGACAAGATAAAACTTTGGGCAAATATTTTTTTGTGTCCTAAATGGACAGCTGCAAAATTATGACCTCATTTGCATATCTCAGAGCTGGCTAGATATCTTTTCGGTCTAGAATAAATATTGAAAGATTTAAATTAGTTTCATAAAAATACTAAAAAGATAAAACAAATATAATATATAACGGATCATTTTTCCTWTTTGAATTTGTCTCTCTTTAAGCCTTATCCCGAGAGATTATAAATGTGACGATTAAAAAAATATGAAAACCTTGATTTTTGTGTGCGTAATTTGTCTTTTCGAGTTGAATATTTCTTCTGTGATATTTCCGGCTCGTATGCCTTTATGATGAAGGCTTAGAAAAAGGTGAAAAACGAGACACTTATAATTGTAAGTATAATTATTTATTGTTTATTATAGATCTAGATGATATACTGACGACGGGGTTATTGATATATAATTCTATGAGCCAAAAGGTAACTATCCGGAATACTTCTGTGTGTGAAAACCACGCTTGATGTTGCCAGCTAGTAAGCAAAAAACGAACAGTATAGTCTACAAACATTAAAAATATAGGAAACGACTTTTCTTCGACACTRAAAGAGCTATATTGAATCCTCTCGGCGCCCAAAACACTGTACATTCACACTGAAGAAAGCACTTTTATAATCTATATTATGTTTTCGTTCGTTTTGCTTTATGTTTGTTCTTCGTATTTTGCATCGTAACTAAGCAGACGTTTCTTATCACAACAAGCCTGAAAACACAGGCACACACCAACTTCAATTTGAATACAAGTGCAAAATAGTCTACAGTAGAAATTGAATTGGTACAGAACAAAGTGTGAATTACTAATTTTAGACTTATGCCTACTCACAGGAATCGGTCAAATTGAGCGCGCGAAGCGTACTCTGCGATTTCGAATGTCCATACAAATTTGTATAAATTTGTATGTGCTATCATCAATGAAAAATCGCAACAAGTTAACCTAAAAAATTTCAAAAAAGAAACTAAACAAAAAGCAAAACAGAAACGAACAAAATGAATTGAAGTAAAAATCACATGTATTGGGTCTATATACCGCTATGTCAACAAATTCTAATACTGAAACTAAAGCCGTTAAGGTGTACTGGGATTTTTTTAATCATTGTGGTAACTCGCTCTAGTTTGTATGACGTTCAAGATTGAATATTGATTTACATTACAAATAGTCAGCATCTTTGTGTATAAATTAGCTAATAGATCTCAAATAAAACAAATCTTCACTTTCTRTACAACATACAAAATGATAATAAAGTGAACAAATATAGGTTTATTTTGAATGATGATATCTTTGCTTTTTATGCATTTTTGTTTGTTTTGTCAGCTTTTATAAGATTGCATTAAATGAAGTAGTGTGCGTCGGACATTTTGTTTTGAGTACAGGCTGGTCATATATATATGAAGCTGTTCGAATCGTAATCAAGTCGCATGAGTGTGTTATGTGTAATGAGTTAATAGTTTTTTCAAGTGTCTTAAGATTTTTAATTGCCTTTTCCCCATTAAACGCAAACTTCATAAAACATTTTGCAATCCGTACAAATGACGGTCCGACCAGTACCGAGCAGATAGGGAATAAATCAGATATGAAATCCCAAATCCATGTATTTCTTTGACAACAACTACGCCACAACAACAACAATAATAAGAGCAAACACCAACAACAAAAAAGAAAAGACAGAAAGAAAGAAAGAAAGAAAGAAAGAAAGAAAGAAAGAAAGAAAGAAAGAAAGAAAGAAAGAAAGAAAGAAAGAAAGAAAGAAAGAAAGAAAGAGAAAAAAAAAACCGATTTTATCATTTTTTATAATATTGGTCTACCCTTTCGAAGAAAACATTTTTGATGTAATGTTTACAAGGAACGGTAACCTGGTTCTTCTTTTATAGTTGTTGTTTTTTCGTATTTTTGTCTTTGCTTTTTATTAACGACGCAAAAAGAAAGCGTCCTTTAAGCGTCCTTAAAGCTCAAAAGCAAAGACAAAAATACGATAAATACTTTAAAAAACGTCTATAAAAGAAAAGAAAACCTGTGGCTCCAGGGTACATGAACGCCCTGTGGTATATGGATTTGTACGTCGWGAACGATTCGAACTTGCCTCAGCTAAAAAGGCTTACCCTGTTTGTAGGCATATGTGTATATATCCTTGTTACCCTTGTTGTCAAGACAAGTTTACTCCATATGAATGAAGTCGTTTTGTACCGATCGAGGCAATTCTGTACCTAATTGTGCCGAGTTTGTTCAGAACATCAAGTCCTTCCAAGGAAAGACGGCCAAATTAATCAGATAAAATAGATGTTGCTTTGAACAGCCATCTTCTCCATTTTGTGCAATCGACACCTTCCTAGAAGTCAGTCAAATGAATACATGTTAATGTGCGTTCTGCGGGAAAAAAAATTGAATTGTATTTTCCCAGTTTTAGGCCTTTGAAAAACAAATGCAAATTATATAAACATCAATTAAGCCCTATTTTGGTTTGGGTTGAAGCGTGGCAAAACATCAATCATAGTAAGTTATTTGAGAACTGAAAATGTTATTTTCAACTAACACTGAGAAGCTAAATGTTTGCGATAGTTACTAAGTTAGTTCAAATTTAGTTTTAACGTTAAAGCTATGACCGATTGGGATGAAGACACATTGTGAGTTCCATTCAAAATCTCGTTTACTTACAGTTCTGGTAGCCTAGAGTTATTGCGGAACTCGATTCGTTTCGAGACTTAGGGCACAAAAAAGGAGCGACCTTTATTATAGGACGCCATAACAAAGCGAATCCTTTTCGTAAACTTACTAAGTTCGATAATGATCATTTCCGAAAAAATACAGCTCTTTATATTTACAATTTAAAAATGCATGGCGAGACATTCTTTCAACTTTATCTTACATAATGTAATGATTGCTAATTTGTAAGATTTGGGAAATTTGAGGTGGAGATATCTTCTCGAATTTTCAACGATGTTTTAACCAACTCAGTAAATTCGCTATTTTCCTAGCTCTTCTCCCCAMCCCTCCAACGGCACTTCGTCAAAAATTGGGTAGGAATGCTCGACGTTGTAAATTTTCTTTTTCCTTAAAACGGTAAATCAGCTAGAGACCCTAAAATGTACGCCTTTCAGACCATAAAAGGTTTGTATATCACCTCTACCGCTTTCAAGGCTCTTTATCGCTTCTCGTTCAATAACATTATTTTTTAGGTCAACTGCTCTTTATTTCGAACAGTTAATGTTTCGAATGAATGGATTAACYATTGATCGTAGCYAACCATCACAATAGAAACTTCACAAACCATTCTCGTAGTTAAATATGACGAGTCGGGGTTGGGAAGAGTATCATCCGTTGTTTTATCCTGCCATTATCAAAAACAAGTTCGCTTTTATCAAAGGTAATTTTTCATTTATTATCAAATATTGTATAAAAGATTAATTACAAATATAGACAAACAATTTTATAAGTCATCTAATTCAGAAATCTTTCACTTCACTCTAAAGTCCAGTTTCCATTCCTTCGAATATCTACAGTCGTGTTTTTTGATTTCGACTCGAGGGGAATCGTGAAACGATTATGTGGAAGTGGCGTAAATTACAATTGTCTCATTAATAGACCAAATTATACAAACAAATCAAGTAGCAAATACCATATTTTCTTGGAAAAATACCTCTGTTCATTAGATCTCTCCAAGCAACATTCAATATACAAAATACAATATAATTTACAGTTACGTATATAAATTAACCACTGCACATTACACAGGCTTCTGGGTTATCACGTCTGCAAGCCTCTACAGCTTTTGCCTTCTCTGCATCTTCGTTATTATCGCTTTTAGCCTTGTTAGTGTTGGCCGAATTGTTACTTGCCTCAGCGGTCTTCTTTTTGGCCAACGCCACTTGATCGACGGTAAACTGGATGGCATTGGCTGCAGGTTTACTTCTCAGGTAGTACATTCCAGTTTTAAGACCCTGATAATGAAATAAGCAGTTAGGGCCGGTTACAAAAGATAGGGTACCCAAAGGTAGAAATGGCAAATCATCCGGGAAAAGAAAACAGGAAAAAAAACCCAAAGTCTTGACCCGACAGTGTCACAACACCTAGATAGTGGTTCTACATTTGACTGGACAATAGGAAACCAAATAGAGAGATTAACTATTGATTGGACAGGGAGGGATTCGCGAATACTAATCACTAATTCCATATTTTCTACTAGGAGTTAGTATTTACCCTATAACTATTTTACCWACCTTTTTCCATCCATAGAAGTGCATACTCGTCATTTTCCCAAATGTTGGTTCGGCAATAAAGACGTTAAATGACTGACTTTGGTCAATGTAGGCGCCCCTGTCAGCTGCCATGTCAATCAAGACCTTCTGGCTGATCTCCCACACTGTCTTATACAAAGGTTTGATTTCGTCGGGAATTTCCTTGATATTCTAAAGAAACAGGGATTTGATTGCATTCTGGTTCATTGATACTGACAATTTGTCTCAATAGCAACTATTTGTTAGTATTTAGGATTTTTTTTTTGTTTTCCTGCGTTTGCTGTAGCTTGCAATGGCATGCTCTCAAAATGGAAGTGGATTCATAGGCAATATACCTAATCAGCTAACGCGTTGCTATAAACGTTTCCACCCAATTATAATATCACATCCATTTTTATTTAAGACTGGCAGTATCAGGCATTCATTTGGATGGACTCTTAAYTATGGCATCACTCATGAGAACATCCAATTATTATTAGAAAGTTTAGGTAAGTCCAATCTTGTCAATGCAATTATTGTACAGTATAATCACCTGAATGGATCCATTGTTAGCAATAAGCTGGTTCTTCATGTCATCATTCCACAGACCCATTTCTGTCAAGTCCTTTAGTAAGTGATGGTTTACTATCTGTTCATCAGAAAAAATAATGTATTATATAACAACAAATTATCTAATGAGTATCATTTAAACACTGTTTCTCATTTTCTTTGCATTTTCTTCTCATTTTCTTTCTCATTTTTCATTGTAATAGAGGTGAAGGTAATGAGTGAATCATGTTCCCAAGGCAATGACATTGTTATCACCAAGGATAATATCCAGCAAAGCATTCTTAAATAACCAGCTTGTATGTAGTATCACAATACTTTGACAAATGTGAGCATATTTTATACCTGAAACTCTCCAGACAGAACTCTTCTAGAGTAGATGTTGCTGGTGTAAGGTTCAATGGATTCATTATTACCAAGAATTTGTGCTGTTGAAGCAGTTGGCATTGGAGCAAGAAGAAGGCTGTTCCTAAGACCGTGCCTGTTGATAAGCAAGTGTAAAAGTTAAACATTTCAAAACACAATATAGCATCAAACTTCTCAACGATTTAAAGTTTGTCACAAAAACTGGGACATAATAACTATACCTTTGGATTTAAATAAAGGCTGTCAGAGAGAGCTACTTTGAATATTACTTCTTAAAGAAGCAATAAAAATTAGATGACATATTACAAGACTCAAAGTATTTTTTGGGGATTAAAGCCAGATATCTTTTCTGACCAAGTCCAACTTTGCTTAATTTTGTTAAAACCTCTTTTTAACTGGACAATGTCCATTGACAGGCTGTTATTTCAATTATTTCAAGCCTTGTTATAACTGCCTTGATGCAACTAGAATTCCTTACTCTTTGATCTTCATCTTTAGAGCTTCCCAATCCCAGAGATTAGATGGTGTTACACCCCACATATCATATTGTAAGATCTGAAAATGTTTTTTAGAAACAATGAGCTTTGTATAACGTGGGAACCAGAGGCTGGATTTACTCGTTCTTGYACTTTATTTACGGCGCAAAGCATCATCCTTGAGGCTGAAGGCCAAAACGTAAACCAGCCTCTGGTGGCACTAATAGCGAATCTCACTTCMATGTCAGTGTTTACATTCAAGATCTGAATGTTGCAGCTGATTGGTCCGTTGATATTTGGAGCGATGTTATTGGCTGAAAAGCAAAACTGGTTTTCTATCAGATACTCGACTAGTGATGAGCGTTCAAATCAACAAAGTTCTCTCAAATCAGATAATTCTTTGTCCTAGACTTTTGAGGTTTTTTTAACTTCCGAGTGAAGGTGAGACATATGTAGCTGTTTACTATAAATTCAAAAGCAAATATTTTYGCAAAAACGATATTTTTAACTTGTCTTTTCTCCAGATAATTTGAAATCTCCTGTCTTCAAATTTGWGAGACTGCAGCTACACACTTTGCAGATTCGTAAAGTATTGCTTTAACGGCATATTCTGGGGATTTTGCTTAGTTTACATTCTATAAGAATTTTAATACACGACAGAGATCATTGACCCATAACATATACATTTGATTCTGACAACTCATTACTCGTCGAGTATCTGATTGCTTTTCAGCCAATAATATTGCTCCGATATCAACGGACCAATAAGCTGCAACATTCAGATCTTGAATGTAAACACTGACATGAAAGTAAGATTCGCTATCCGTGCCACCAGAGGCTGGATTACGGTTCGGCCTTCTGCCTCAAGGACGGTGCTTCGTGCCGTAAAGTGCAAGAACAAGTAAATCCAGTCTCTGGTTCCCAGGGTAAGCTTTGTACAATTCCTGCAACAAATCTAGTGAAGGCTATTCATTTAAAATGCAAAGTAATGTCAGAATAGACTATTCTAAGGTAAATAACACCCATTTGGAAAAGAGCAGTTAGTGGAAACCTTGAAGCATGGCATTAAATACTTTGAGAGTCTGATTAAAATTTAAATCAAGCAGCACTTCAAGAACCAAGATTGTTTTCACTAACTGCTCAATTTATCCATTTTCACATTCCCTATGATAATTTGTTTTCTTGAGGTGTATAATTGTAATAATCAAACTTATTTGTTTTCTTGAGGTGTATAATTGTAATAATCAAACTTATTGCAATTAAAATTAAATTCATCTGAATTACAGTTGTTAACCCCCCAAAACAGAAGGCATTATGGACATGTGAAAAATACGGAAATAATAATCAATATTAAAATGATACAAAATAAAGCTATTTAAATGGTACAGCATTCAAGGAACAACTTACTCCTTTACTGGCTGGTGATCCTTGGTAAGTCTCATAAGGACCCTCCTTAGCAGCAAGGTCACAAGATGCCTACATGGTATAAAGAATCAATTAGACCATTCATAAGTTAACCTTGAGAAAATAGAACTTCAAAGAATGAATGTTATACAAAATGTAAAACACTTACAGTTAATGCAGCATAGTAAAGGGTTTCAAAGATTTTTCGATTGAGATCTTGTGCTTCTTTACTTTCAAAAGCATATCTCATAAGAATAAATGCATCGGCAAGACCTTGTACACCAATACCAATGGGTCTGTGCCTCATATTAGATGTTCTAGCCTAAAACAAAAAAATCACATGAGCTTACAAGGTAATTCTCTCCTTAGAATCTATAGCTTTGTCCTCAGATGGAGATGTATTCCAACAAGTTCTACATGCAATGTAGTGACTCTTTTGTTTGAGAGCACAATTTATTTCAAAAGTCAGGAAACCTGCATTTAAATAAATCACTTGTGTATGTACATGTACTAGTCCATAACCTATTCTGAAGGTTGTTCATACAAGTATTTTCTCAGATGTCTTVAAAGACTAAACTGTAAACATGCTGCAATCTCATTGTGTTGCTGTAAACAAATTCCCTTTTTGTGATATCTAAAAAATTCAGGTYATGAYAAATGCAATCATTCACAGYCCTCCACCCATCTAGACTATGCTCGATATCACCAAAAACACATTCAATAATTCATGTTAACTGTGATTACCTGTGGGACTGGATAGTAGTTGATGTCAATTATCTTATTCAAATTGCAAGTCACAACCTATCAAAAGGATACATCATCAATTRTTAGTATCTTCAAATCCATTTAATTCACACATGATTCAGTTGTGTATTAACCTGAGTGACTTCAAACAGTTTCCTGAAATCAAATTCTGGGGGTGTTTTGTCAGTGTTAACAAATCTGTTCAGTGCTACWGATGCCAAATTACAGACAGCAACCTAAAATAGAACACAAATAGCTTTATTAGTCAAGATACAATTCTGAGTTATAACAAAGTACAATAACTAATCTGTAGAGTGCAGACACTAAAACATGAAATAATTTAAATACTAATATTGTACAACGTACAAAAAAGTTTCAAAGCTGAATTTTCTATATCTTGGCAGCATAATATTTATCCTATATATTAGTGGAATGACTTCTTTTAGCAGTTTAGTTCTTACCTCATCAGGGCTGGTGTATTCTACTATTTCTGTACATAGATTACTGCATTTGATTGTACCAAGATTCTGGGAAGGTTAAATACAAACTCTTCAATCTTTATCTAACATCTTTGGTACTGAACTACATGTATTTAGTTGTATAGTTAGCACCTTAAACATACTGATATTTACAGGATTTGTGCCACAATGGGTGATTTGTATTACGGTGTCATCAACTACAACTACCAGAATGCTTTGTTTGATTTTTACCAATCTCCAATGAAAATAGGCAAGTCTTTCTAGTTTAGTTGAAGTAAACAAGGGCTTCATATCTCTTTGAATAATCATGTGAGTGATTGAAGCAGATGTATGTGTCCCAAACAAATTAGAGTCATATTTATTAAGAAAAAAGACATAGCTGGTGATAAACTAGTCATTGCTATTCTGCTGGTAGCTGTCTATTATTAGTAAAGTTATGCCACCGTGCAAATGGCCTATTTTGTTACAAAATTCCAGTATAAAAGCTGTTCAATGATTTCAAGYAGTAGCAAAAACCCTGTAATTATGTTATGTTTAATTAGCCCCCTCAATCTCAAATAGTGTCAGACAGTCGCTATTYATTAACCATTACTTAGAAATTGGCACCTGGACAAAATACTTTGCATTAGGAATTCCAAAACAAATATTTACCTTCTGGTTACTTTTTCTATTGCAKGAGTCTTTATACAACATGTATGGTGTACCAGTTTCTATTTGAGCCTCTAGGATTGAGAACCACAACTTCTGTGCTTGGATTTGTCGAATAAACTTTCCTTCTTTTTCATATCTGAAAATATAAAAAACGTTTGAATTTGCAATAATAACCTGTAGGTCCACCAAGAAAAATGTTTTCATGACTTTTTTTTAAGTTTGACAAATCTAAGAAAATACAATGCATTTCCATCTGAGCAATTATGTAAACACAGAGAAAATGGCTTTGAAAGTGCTTTGAGCTTATGACAACTTTACTGTACCTTGTATAGAGTTCTTCAAACTCCTCACCATAACTATCCTGTAAACCAGGACAATCATTTGGACACATCAAGCTCCACACCTTATCTTCCTCTACTCTCTTCATGAACAAGTCAGGTACCCACAAGGCATAGAATAGATCCCTGGCACGCTGTWTGTAAAAACCAATAAACTTCAGTATTGTATAATAATCTAAAAAATGATGTCCTGTCACAGTGCAACTACAGATCCTTGATCTACTTTAGKAATCCTAACTAATCCGTAACAGTAAATGCAGATATCTCATAGTGTTCTCACATTTATGTTCTATTAACTTCAAGTAGGATAGGTTTATTCCAAAATATCTTGAGCTGATGAGCTTAAAAATACAATGTGATTGATAAATGATACTATGAAAGTGGCACAGGACTCAATAGCTGCACTGTAAAGATATCATTGAAATCAATGACAGTTTGAATAAACATATTCATGGACATTATTCAATGAGTTTAAATTCTGCTTGCACATAGCATGAATACTCCATTTTCAAGTTCAAATCGGTTATAAGACAACAGATCTTTTGTGCAAAAGCCTTACCAGAAACAAATGAAACCACAAGGAAATGTTGTAATGCACCTATCAATGTTAAGCCCCCAGGGGGGGAGGCCGGGCTAGGGGTGGGGATTACACTAGCTATTACTGCCCCAGGGCCGGACATTTGCCAATAATTCAGTGCCCCAGGGTGGGGATATTTGCCAACCATTGTTGGGTTACCTGAGTAATAGAGAGCTGAGGAGAACTGAAGACTAGTGCCCCTATAAAAGCCMCCGCAGATATCTCATAGCACACGGCAAGATGGAGGATGTCAAGGAGGTAACGGTATTATTTTTGTTTTTCAAAGATTACCTTTTGTCTAAAACAACAAAAGGGTTTTATTATAACATTTGTATTGATCAAATACTGAATAAAAAGGCTCTGRGAAAAGAGACTGATCAATGAAAACCTCAGATTTTCAAATAGAATTTAACCAATAAATTGGTCCCCAGGGTGGGGATTTTTAGCTGCATTTGACCACATTCAGCAGCCCGAGGGTAGGGCATTTGACAGAAAAAAATGAAAAAATGTCTAATCCCCACCCCTAGCCTGGCCTCCCCCCCTGGGGGCTTAACATTGATAGGTGCATAAATACAATAGCCCTAATGATGCTAATCCTGTATTCCCAAAAGGCATAAATTATAATATAAATTTTCAAGGCTATTGTAATAAAACATTTTCTCGTGGTTTCTTTTTTTGTGATAAGGCTTTTGCGCAAGAGAATATGTTGTCAAATAAATCAGTGGTTATCCGCTTTGAACTCGAAAAATAGGTTATTGAGTTCTTAAGAATAACCTGTTCCTCTTTCCCTGTGTTCTTCTTAAGGTCAAGAAACTCCATGATATCAGCATGCCAAGGTTCTAGGTAGATAGCAAAAGCACCTGGTCTCTTGTTTCCACCTTGGTCAACATATCTTGCAGTGCTGTCATAGACCCTCAAAAGAGGGACTATTCCATTRGACACTCCATTGGTCTAAAAACATAACAACCACTTATTGTTTGGTTCAGTATCTTAGGAGATATGTGAATTAAATTCTTATTGACTGGAATGTAGTCTAAATTGCTCATATTCTGCCTAGTCCATGATTTCTGACATGGAATTTCATTGTGGAAAAGTGGTCTTCGGCATGGAATACAGTTTATGACTTCGGTGTACAAACCAAGACTATATAATGCAGTTTTCATTATAAAAAACCTCCATGTTGTCAAAAATTACAGAATTTATTTCCATGTGAGAAAAACATAATTAAGTTCATTGTATATACATGTGTCTAAGAAAGGCCAGACTTACCCCAGCAATGTAGCTCCCACTTGCACGAATGTTATGAATGTTGAGCCCAATTCCACCAGCATTCTTTGAGATCAGTGCACATGTCTTGAGAGTCTCATAGATGCCTTCAATGCTGTCATCAGACATGGTCAACAAGAAACAGCTAGACATCTGTGGTCTGCAAGTACCAGCATTAAACAGTGTTGGTGATGCATGAGTGAACCATTTCTCAGATAAAAGATTGTATGTCTCAATGGCAGCATCAATATCTTCACCATGGATACCAACAGCGACTCTCATCAGCATATGCTGTGGACGTTCAGCAACTTTGCCATTGATCTTTAGCAGGTATGATCTACTCAATGTCTGGAAAACAAAGAGACAAGAATGTTAAGGGTTGCATTCTTGGTTTTACTTTGATATTAATAAAGTACAGTAAAAACCCACACATTAGAACATCCATTTACTATGGAGTCCAGGCTGTATTCAACAGGTGTTTTTCTGCAWAATCAGCCTAAAATTGTTATTTCCTACACTGTTCTTAAAATAGTTAGTCAGTATTGTATCACATTTAATATTGATTTAGCTTTTATGCAAGAATACATCATTTTTCATGCTAAATGTGTTCTTATTTATATAGTACTAAATTTAGGCTGGGTGTTCTTAATCTACTTGTGAGTTTTCACTGTATGGGCACACTTTTTTTTTGMAAAATAAATGATGCTAATGTGATAGAGCGGATTTCGTATGAGTGGGACACCGTTACYGCACAATTTCYGCACAGTTACTGCACCTGGCCTGCAGAATTTTGGTTACATTTTGGTTACAGTACGATTACGGACACAGTACAGTACCGTCCATTAACCACTCATACGAAATCCGCTCTATGATTACAGTCTACTATACATACCTTGAATCCAAAATAATTATAATGGTAATCACGGTCATAGATGATAGCAGAATTAAGTTTCTGAAAAATATCAATTGTAATCAATATTTTATTCTATATATATTTTATCTCTTTTCCTTAATCAGCAACTTACATCAGCATATTTTTGCACAATGTCATTTAACTGCTTTGACACTAATGGGGAATGCTTGYCATTCTTTGGGTTTATGTAGTTGTACAAGTCCTCCATGACATCTGTGAATTATGACAACAAATGTAATCATTAAAATATATCAAATATTAGCAGTGATGTCATTTGTGTCTGAGAGATTGAAATTCAATTTTATTCAAATTTCACACATACCACTGAATTGTTTTTTGGTTTCTTTGTGTAAGTTTGATACTTCAATTCTAGCTGCTAACAATGCATAGTCAGGATGCTTTGTAGTCATGGATGCTGCAATTTCTGCAGCAAGAGTGTCCAGTTCAGTTGTCTTGACTCCTTTATAGATACCCTTTATAGCTTTAATAGTAATGTTGATCTGGATATAGAAATGATAATAWTAATAATGAAAACTGAATAAATTACTGATAGAACAAAGCATACAGCATTGAAAGCTTGGATTATTAAAACATTGTACTAAATTGTACAAACCTTTTTATTCAAATAGTCAAACTTAASTTGCTTGAAACTTTATATTACATTTGTATCTCGACTTGAAAGTTTTTAAGTTCTGTAAAATTTGGATTTGTGTTGCATGAGAAATATCTTTAGAAGTATCCAAGATCAATTTTTGGATTCGAAAGTACGTAAAGACGACTTCAAATAGTTTATGCTGTTACTCAAAAGTTATAACTGGTACTTACAATCTTAAAAATAATACAAGTGATTTCACTGTGTCAAACAGTAAACAAAGACTGAATTCGTTGGCGTTTCTGCATTTCGCGCCAAAACATTTGGCGGGAATCAACTCACTTTTACGATTGGCTTTGATTGCAATCAAGAAAAATTCTATATCGATAAAATTTTATGTCTATATACTTGAAAACTTAGTATAGCTAAAACTTGAGGGAGCTCATTCAAGCAAGATATTGTAATAGATAGACAGTTTCATTAAGCAAGTTGTTGGGAGTTCAAAGGAATTGTCTAAAAAAGTCAAATTCCTTCTGCTGTCTTCACTAACGTGTTTAGAAAACTACTTTAAGTGTTTTATTCTAGTAAATTGAAGCCATATTGTAGTATTTGAAGACGAGAACGTTCAGAGAACGGCTAATCCAAATTTCGGTTTGGCGCCAAATTTCATTTCCTCGATCACGGGCTATTTCGTAATATAAAAGAGATCTTACCGGTTCAACAAATTCATTTTTTAAACCATAGCAMAGTTTTTCGATTCTTGAAGTTATCTTGTCTAAATAAATTGGCTGAGGTTCTCCATCTAAAAGAAATTGCAAGAAGTAGCAAAGTTTAGTTACAAGATGGCGGACATAAAATSTCACCAATTCAAYACAATTTKGATGATTTTTCAGCTTACTTCGTTTGATAACGTACAAACTGGACGGATCTTCTTTCTTCACTTGATCAGACATTGAGATAAGTGCGGAAATAACCTAAGAAATGCAGTAAACCCCTAGACGAAGGCTCCACAAAGAACCASTGACGAAGTGAAAGTAGATTTGTAAAATAAGTACCTTCCCGCGTTCTTTAAAACGAGCCAATGGAAATCGTTCTATAGAACAAAGGKAAGCCATTTATGGATAGCASCTCTWGMAGCAYWGACACACGTGACATCTAAGGTATCATGTTGTTGGTATGAATTTGTTTCTATTTCTTTATCAYAAAAAGATATTTTTGATTAGTATATTAGTAGAATTTTCATTATTTAAAAAAAAAATCTTAAAAAATCAGAAATTTATAAAGATGAAATGTATTTCAAATTGTGTTTTAATGGATTGGGGCATAATATTATGGATTATATTATGGATAATATTATATTGAACAACATATTATTCAAATTAAMTCAATGATACATAAAAAACGTGGGAAATCAGCCAAGGAATAAACATTATTTTGAGATTTGTATCTGTTGAGCCCTCTATTTCGATCAGCGGTTACTGGCCTCCGTACATGAGCAAGAAAGGTTAATTTCCAAGATGGCTGCCGGAACAAGRGGGGTAAGAAGAAGCTTTCTCATTATTTTGTATTATGTCAAGTCACAATCGCTGTAATTAAACATCGCTAGCTATGTATATAAATACAGGAATATAGTAGTTTATCTCAACGTAAAAATAATATGTATTTGTTGAATTTAACGTCAAAATTCTACGCCGATAATTTTCTTATAACTTGTTGGTTGCTAGTCAGCACGTCCAATTTAAGATGAAAATATTGTAGATTTTATCTAGCATGACATAGTAATATTGTAATTTTTAGCATATTTTAGMATTTKTCAACATTACMTTGAATAGCATTTAATACATTTAGTTTGTGTAATCAAATGTGATAGATATTAACGAGCTCAATTTTGTTTTGACGTGGAAAACAGCTGCCAACTTCTAAAATAGTGGACGACAAAGGCCCAAAATGTAATGTTTTTGCCAACGTCTACACACATAATAGTTTTTTCATAAGGAAAATGAAATACAGCGTTTCTTTTGATATGAGTAATGTTATTAAACATAGTAAATTCTCTAAAAACTCCATTCTGCAGTGTTCAGTTGTACATGTATAGTTTTTTTATGAGCACTAATTAAATTTGCACTTTCAAATATTACCTCAGATAAAAAAAGTGCTGTAATTTCTCATGATAATTCTGTTCACAATATCAATGTAGATTTAATTTTGTCGATGTGTATTTCTGAAATTGATGCAAACTGAAATTGCACAAATTTCTGAAAAATCATTTTTATTTGGTGATGACATATTCTATAKGATATAACACAAACTGATCAAAATGATAATAACAACTCAGTCTAGCASAATGAAGACAAAGCCTTGTGCAGATGTTATTTTCCTAATTGTTGTGAATAAATTACYAATTGATTGACAAGTSTATTAATGAATAGTTGGGAAGGACCTTTTAGATTATCATGTTCGCTTGCCATTTATTGGTGATCAAGATTCGTTCAATTTTGTTTTGTCAACATACTTTATCATTTGGGCAATTGCAATTTTKAGATATACGTGTACTTGTAGTAAGTATAGATAAGTGGATAGAAAATGAAAACCAAAGGTTTGTACAACATGCTCTCATGTTAAGCATTGCAGCTAACCCTRTTGTATGTTAATCTTGGTAACCATAGTTTATATGAAATTGCATTTAATATTTGTTTTTTTTTAGCTATCATTTTTATTTTTCATTTATRTACATTTATCCATATATTAATTTTGCTAATCAATTCAGCTTGGCGTTTTAGAATTTTCATTCATTCATGCTAAASAGTGTTTAACACATAATTATTTGACATTTGTTCATCTGGCAAATGGTCRATCTATGTAAAGTAGTTTAATATCTGCCATTTCAATGAAGCATTAGGCTATCCTGAGAGTTTCTTTCAGGGCTCAAAATATCAGCCAGTCAACGGACAATGAACAGCCAAAATTCRCACTTGTCCWGTCAAACTTCATTTTGGCCGGTCATCTTGATCAGTCAAGTCTATAACRTGAAATTAAAAAACTATCAAAATAACTACTACAGCGGATTCAKGTTGACTGTTAACATAACRAACAATTCTCRGGCGTCAATATTCTGCTATGAAGACTATCAGACAGATATAAGTTTTATAGAAAATGCTGTTTACATGTGTTTAATGAATACAAAATGCAATTCGGAGAAAGGGAAATAGGGAAAATAGCATCCTAGATGCTATTCAATTTGTYATTGAATGATGATCATGTATCCCTAGAACCAGCTAGCCGTCAAACGTCCACGAAACGTYGCAGCCCTAGAATAATATTCAGTATTTTCAATATGATGTTTCAAAGCTTTTGTTCTCATTTTTTGTGGAACGATTTCACGAAGAAGAAAAAACAATATCCTTAGTCTAACTTAATAAAGGTAAAAAAGAAATTACACTTCTTTCGCTTTTTTCATGGCATTATATTTTTATTTTTTTCTTGCTTTTCATGAAGGATTTTCATGCTGCTGAACATGCAGTGTGAACGTGCTAAATTTTTATTCAAATGAAATGCTCAAAAATCAGAAAGSTTTTTGTTCTTTTTTGTCTTTTAACTCRATTGTAATGCCAATAAACTATGCTTTTTGTATAAATAATATATGTTTTAATTCAAGTTTTTATGTTTAATTTTTTTTTTCATTTTTGTCCAGTCAAAACTGGAACATGTCTTAATAATTGTATTTGAACGGTCATCATGTCTGGTCACTGATCGGCCATTATTTTGAGCCCTGTCTTTTGACATTATTCATTATCAGTGTTGAAGTCTAGGTAATCTATACATTTATCAATAATCGCTTTGCTCAGTTGGTAGAGGACTTCACGGGCATCACAGAGGTCATGGTTTGATTCCTGTTGAAGTCTGAAAAAATTGAAAAAATTTGTGATCACCAAGAATACAATGTYATGTACAATCAAACTCCATTGAAAGAGCAAACACTGTGCATGTGCTTAAACAAAATTCATGACAAAATGTTGTATGTTTACACATGGAGACCACCTGGTTTTTCTTTATAAATTTTTTGTTCGAGAATTTATATTTTTGGRGGCCACTGGTGCTTTTAAAATTCTTTATTTTTTAATTAGGAAAGTGGAATAGTTTAATCTGAACCATTGTCTCGGCTTAAAGAAAATCATTTTGAAGAAAGGTGTTAATGAAAACATATCATTAGGTAGATGGAAAACATCTGCTGAAAAAAGATCCTAAACCTTAAAGCTTACTTTTAACTTCTAGTTTCCTTKAAACAAACAAAGGCAGTGCTCTCTTAATATAAATATGAATTTTACTTCTTAAGAAGAAATCATATCAAAGTCATTTAGGAATATTTTTAGAATGAATGTCAATTTGAAAGCATGGTTTATTTAGAAACCTGTGCAAATAATTATCACAAATGTTTGTAGCACTTTTCAAGACATGTGGCCTCATGCAGTAAATAATCATAAATACATATATATATAAAGAAGAAGAAGGCCGAAGAGCCGAAACGTCCTAATAAACAGAGTTTTTATAGCTTCAAGTTGGTGTTTTGTTCTATTTCATTCTACTTAATTGTATGAGGAAGTAGCTGATCCCATTAAAGAGTGCTATATCTTTAGATATTTTTTATTTTATTCTTATTATTTTGGTTGGTACTTAGTCTAGTTACTTGGTGATACATGTACCTTAAGCATCATTTTGTCAGGAAAAAAATGTTGGTACATGTAAATAATGTGTATTTTGAGATATTTTGCATATAAAGTTTCTGCATMCCTTTCTCAAACATAGAATAAGGCCTAACCAACTTATTGCTGTTTATTGCTATTATTGTTTTTCAGCAATAGTTTTTYAACATTTGAATTTTCTTATCAACAAAATAATTAATATTTGCATTATTTCTAGTTCCAGACTGGTAGAGATACTAGAATTGTAAGCACAGGTGACACAGATGATGAAGATGAGTTAGAACTCTTGAGGGAGGCAGCACTTAGATCCATGGCAAACAAAGTAAGAGAACTATAACTTATTTACACATCTTGTAAGAATCTTATGAATGTTATTCATTTTATAACTGTATATTTCTCCTATTTTTGTATGGTTTAGTGTTTTAGTTGTCTAGATTGTCATTTTAACAGTATTTTCATGTTTGGTAATCTTGCTAATTACATTTTTCCCTAAACAGATACTGCACATCCCATTTTGTATAATTTTCATTAAAATGAATTTTAGATGTATCACTGTGTTTCCTTTTCACCTCTATATTATCAGATTTTTTGATTTTCTTTTTCAGAAAACAGTTGTAGAGCATCAGGCAATGGATGTTAATGATCAAGACGATAGTGCTTCATCTACAAGCACAGAATATGAAGAGATCTCATTGAACAGTCCACAAGACAGTTCTTCAGAATCAAGTGATGAAATGCCTACAGACAAAGAACTATCAGAAACGAATAACATTATTAACATTGACAATGCTACACCTGTTTATTCTGATAATACAAAATCTCATGAGCAAATTGAAAGCTTAACTATTACTGTTGAAAATGATGATGAAAGTGATGAAAGTGATGAAAGTGATGTTGATGAAAGGAATGAAAGTGATGATGAAGATTATGATCAAATTGTAGAAGACAATGAAGAACATGAAACTGTTATGGATGGTCAAAACCAGGATGAAGAACAATCCTCCTCTGAGTCAATTAATAATGATGAAAATGAAATAGTTTCTGAAGAAGAAGAGCAAGAAGAATCACGGCTATATGACAAGCAAAGTAACCACATTGTGTATGAGAATGAAACTGATGAAGAATCTCCAGAAAATAAAGTATTTGGTATGTCAGATACTGGCTTAGAAAAATCAAGAACAGACATTGTTGCCAATAAAGTAAGTGACATCACTAGTAACGAAAATATAAACACAACAAAAACCTCTCTAGAGACAAATAAAAGGGTGCTTATGGGCAAACAAAATCATATTGRAAAAAAATCTTTGTCTCCAATAGTCTGTAGTAGTAAGGAAGCTGACAGAACTCATGATTCATCAAAAGTTTCTGACATTAGTAAGAGCGATAAAAGCAGTGTATCTTCAAATGTTTATTCACCTAATAGCAATGTTAACWCTGTTGATACTTCAAAAAGTGTACTTGATACTACAAAAAAAGGCAATGACAGACTTCAAAATCAATCTTTGAAAAAAGGTTTCAAGGAAAATGACAAAGGAACTAAGAAAAATATTAGTGAGAAACCAGAACCAAAGTCAGTTGTATCAGTACCAAAACCGAAGGATGAAGACTTGCACACAGACCAGCTTAGTATCGGAGGAAGTAGTTCAGACTCATGTGATGAACTTGATGAGGAACTCAGAAGAAAAAGTATAGATTCAAAGGTTACCCCGAAAGTTTTAACTAAAAAAAGTATAACAACAAAAAGTGTATCTTCCTCTCGGAAACGGTCCAGATCACACAGCCCAAATGCAAGGCAGARAAGCTCATCTCGAGAAAAAAACTCTCACTATGTTCATAAAGACAGAGGTTATTCCAAATCAGACAGAAGTTATAATAGAACAGATAGATTTTCAAGAAGGAGCAAAAGTCCTAACACAAGGAGTAAGTCGCCCTTGAGGAGGACCAGAAGAAGCCATACTCCTGCACGGAGGGGYAGAAGCCCAGGCAGAAGAAGTAGGAGTCCAATGCGTCGAGAAAGAATTCCTCATAGAAAATCCAGATATAGCAACAGTCCACAAAGAGAGAGAAATACAGCACGAAGGAGAAGGAGAAATAGCCGCAGTAGCTCACCAAGGAATAGAAACACTATTCGAAGTAGAACTCCAGAAAGAAGGTCTGAAAGTCCCGTTAGAAGAAGTAGTCTTAATCAAAATAGGCAAAAGGGTGAAAGTACAAACAGAAGAAATCCAAGGACCCCAAGTCCTGACAGGCATAGGAAAAGAAAAGAAAGAAGTAGTAATGAGAGTTCAAAAAGAAATTTTGAAACCAGTATTCAGGTTTCTTCTCCACCAAGATCAAAACACCGAAATCAGTCACCATCACCCTCTAAAATATCTATAAACAGTAAAGAAAACTCTCTTGTACATACACATCCATCAGAAATTGAAGATAAAGAAGTAACTATGATTAAAGACACTAAGAGAGCTAAGCTTTCTGTAAAAGAGGAAAATAAAGCCGTTGTTAACCAAAAAGATGCCCGGAATCTCATCAAAAAGAAACCAGTTGCAGTTACAGCTGTAAAGAATATCAAGACGACAAAACCAGAAAATACAGAGAAACAGAGTACAGGTAAGGATTTTAATAGTGCTGTGTACAATCAAATCCATGAGAAATATAGTACATTATATACAATTTTTTCGTAACGAATGTTATTGTCTCATTCAAAACACACATGAATCGTTGCTATTTTATACACRCAAAACGCCTAGACAATGAAACATTGAGCTATGAATCAMRTTGTCATTTTGGGTTTGTTAGGTCTCTTYAGTGAATCGTTTTTCTTTGTACTTTTAGGTGATTTAAGGCAGTTYATCCAGAAGGTAGAAGCCCAAGAGCCATCSAGTGAGAAAGATCAGAAGGAGAGAGAACTGGATGAACGTATAGCAAAAATTCGACAGAAAAACTTGGACATTTTGAAACGAAAAATGGAAATCGAAAGAGAAAAAGAGTTGTTTGGATGAAACTTTTTGAGATGTGGTTAACTTCATATAATAGATATGCAAAGGTAACTTTTTTACTCTTTATAAAACATTGATTTGGATATTTTGGATATCAATCCTTTCTTCGTGTAAATATCTCCTTTTACTTCATTTAATTTTGTAGAAAAACAGACACAATAAGCACTAGATCTGACGGATTTATATTGAAAAAAATGCTTTTTTAAAAAATGATTTTTTTGGTCAAATAGGACTACAATTAGCGTTTCTCAAATTCCTAAATAATCAATGAAAAACAACAATAACAGCAACAGCAAGACAAACAAAGTGGWTAATTKATGTAATTGGCTGTTCGGTATATTCATTGTCAAAGTACTTACTATGGCAATAGTGTTTTTTGGTGATTTTTCTTTTCTATCATTAATTATTCATGAATTTGACAACAGCGTATCAAACACCTTGAAACAGTTAAAAAAATATTAAAAACTCGCACAATCTGTTACATCAAATACTGTATAAACAAAGAAAGGGGGAGTGTTACCTCGAGATGAACGGTTAACTTACAGTGATATATATTTTTTATAAAAGTTAATCCTTAGTATTTCAAAGGATTGTGTCCATATAATCATATTTCGGGCGTTTCGAACGATTATATGAATAACAAGCATAAGAACAGCATTCAATGCTTTAAATTATTGTTGTTGTTTTTTTGGTATTATTAAATCTACAGTTTTGAGCAGTAGGAAGTAGAACCTTAGTTAAACCACAGGAACGAGATTATTTTTTAGTTTTGTAATCGCTCGTTACCTTTAAACCCCTTTAATTCGGCCACTGTTCGCAATGATGGGCTGGCCGTATTGAGCAAACAGTGTCCGTACGACGTGGTTCCCCTGTCAAGGTCTGTCAAGGTATTCCAGTGGCTTAAATTCCTTAATAACCAAAAACAACGCAAAATAAGCCAAGACACTAGCAGATCAATAGCTCTAAGTAGAGATTATTTCTTTAATCTTTCTTTGCATTCATTCCCTTGTTATTCACACTATTTGTTCTTATTATCAGTTGTTATAACAATCTTTGTCGAGGATCTATAGTGTAAAAAAAACAACATAAAATATATGTGAAACTAATAGCACATTCATTCTCATGGTCGTTTCCAACGTCGAATTTCACATGTTCGATTTAACAATCGTAGGTTAAGAGGATGATCGGTTGTTCCTTCACGTTATCTACCGTTTATAAGACTAGTGTTATACTAGGGACGCATGCATAAGCGTCAGATAAATTCTGTAGCTGTCATAACAAGAACTGATCCTAGTCGTGGACTCYATTGTGTTTTCTTGGCATTATACTTGTTCTTGCGTCCTGGTGAAACCACACTTTACGAATCTACTTTGACAATTTACGAAAACAAATCGCGTTTACATATCGTTTTCGCGTGGCAATGGCAACAAATGCAACAAAAAAAGTAAAACTCAAAGATTTAGATTCTAATAGACCTCGGAGACTTGACAAGTTTTAATTATGAAATTCTTTGTAAATGTGTTGTTTCTACCTTTAAGTTAACCRCATAGTTTTAATATGTTGTATATAAAGTAATGGTTTATGAAAAAAACTTGAACAAAAAATAAAATATGACAATAAGTTACTGAATCAAWCTCTTATTGCTTAGGGTATTGTTTACATTTCTCAACAGTTTCAAAAAATATTTTGAAAAATGAATAAACACGCCATCGTTGTAATAAAATGATAAGTTGTACCACTTAGAAGCGAAAGTAATGAGGTGGGTAGTACGAAGGGTGAGTAGCGCTAGCCCTTGGATAAATGTGTATCCAACGGATATACAAAATCATTGGAGTGGATTATTTTATCTGGTAGACCGGTCATGGTGAGACTTCCCAGTGGCTACTCATTTTTTTCTTAGTTGCATTGCATTGCGCGTCGAGTCTGGCTCTTGGTGGTTCTGACTTTAGCACTTCGAAACGTCGAAACGTAGCTTATCAGAAACACTGTGGCTCGTCATTAGTCGTCTCGCAATAGAGCGGATTTCGTATGAGTGGGACACCGTTACCGCACGGWTACCGCACAGTTACCGGRCCTGGCCTWCACAWTTTTGGTGAACCAGTGGGGCACTAGAATTTGGTTACAGTACGATTACGGTCACCGTACAGTACCGTCCGTTTCCCACTCATACGAAATCCGCTCTACGTCCAAGAGGTACATCGTTCAATTACAACATTAATTTCTACACCTAACTGAATGGTGTCGAGTCGCAAAAATGTGATATCATGGAAGTCGAAGGAAATTGTTTTAAGGCGTCTAAACATGTTATATCATTACTCAGAGAGGGTTATTTTGTTCATTGCTGGCAATCGTTTGGCGCTGAATCTGTTAGTCTATGTTCATAATTTTCACTTTCCCATGTTCCCTTTCGGTGTTAGCTTTGATGATGTCATCTTTTGGGACATGTATCTCTATCTCAAGCAATAGTTCGATGTCATTGAGTAGACGCACTAAATCCGTGGAACAAATATTATATAGTAGTAAATAGTGTTGATTAGACAATGGAAAACAAAGGTATTAGCACAATTTATCACCGATTTTATGCTGTTGTTTCACGGAATAAGTGCACCATTAAAAGATAAATTTAAGACTAATTTATTTTGTTATATATTTATTAATGTCTCCATTAAAAAAAAAGAACATAATCATTTTATACAATTTTGAGATTAATCGTATTTACAATTGCGAAAGTTATTCGTAAAATGGAGTAATGTGTTTCCCTCAGTCTAAACGCAAGAGCASCAATAACACCCTAAAAGTATTCCCCGATGTCAGTGCACACTCACTACTTCCATATGAAASTGTTCATCTCAACACGACGTTTTTCACCTTTAGTTTTTGGTTCGCTCGTTGGCATCGCACGAATGTTCATGAATAGGGCCGAGTGGAAACGTAAAGAGGAACCACAGAGAAAGCCTTAATTCATGCATTTTTCTACTTACACTCATTAGTACTGAAAAAGATTTCTTGTAACATTGAATCGTATATACACTAACAAGCAAGAATTTAATGTATGTCTTMAGGCCATCGTGTGGGCCATCGTGTGACACTGATGTGCAGCACGCCGTGGGATKTACAGAACTCAAACCAGTATACTCAGCATAAGCATTCATTATTTTACACATATAGAAATGCCAACGACCATCGGAGACCGGTTTTCCTATTCCTTGAATAATAAGCTGCTTCGATACTTCTGTCAATTCCCGAGAATGTTCCCAAGTAAACCCTTCCAAAGAATGTCGTACGTTTATTCGCTGTTCTATCATGCTAATAAGGTAGTTTGTGTGACCAGACGATAAAGTCAAGATAGTTGGCTTCTAAGAGAAGAAAAGAAAGGTGAGTMAGTATCGGCAACTCACCAATCTATCATCCAACTAATGTAACAATGTAATCCCGACACTTGAACCAGCCACCATAGTCCTTATTACGACGCGCGGAAAGCCTTGTGACGCAATGCATTTTGGGATTGATAAGTGAGTATACAAGGGAGCAACATTGTCATTGCTTCAGTTATCTGTACTGACGCAGACATTGTAGTTAATATCAGAAGTAACTGCGACAAAAACATCAAACAAGCAATAGGAAATACAGCAAGAAAAACCTCCAAAAAATGTACAATTAATCGAGGATTTCCATTTACTAGGCAATTCAAACAAAAATGAAAACAAACATATTTTGTTTGTGGAAAAATCAAAACTAATTAGTGTTTTTACGATTTTAGCAATTTTTTTGATGAAGAAAGGAAGATTTATATCCCATGACACATTGCAAACCGATTCAAAATGGCGGGCTTGTAATATGGACTATGACCAGGGCCGTAGCCAGAGTGAATGGACAACCGAGGCAAGCGCGACCGCCGATGGAGGGAGAAACTAGTGGGGTCTGGGGGCATTCTCCCCCTAGAAAATTTGAAATTCAGTTTCTCGGAAATGCAACTTGCAGCGTTTTGTGGGCCCTTTGGTAACTCTTTATTGAACAGATTTAACCGGAATTCATCATGCAATATTTATGAAACAAAGAAACTACACGTACAAAATTCGGTACAAAAATAACATTATTTTCATATTTTTTGCACAAAATCAGTCGTGCGAAATCGGCTCTGAGAGGCTAAGATAATATTAGTGATGAAGAACAAAAAGCATCGGCAAAATTTTACCGAGGCGAGTGCCTCGGTTGGCCTCTTACTAGCTACGGCCCTGATGACAAATTATCTGACTATTAAAATTAACAAATCAGCTAACCAACTATTCAAACAAAACCATTTGGCCAGCCTACAGAGTACAATCTGCTACAAAGTGGACAAACTAACCATCCTGACCATCTAAAAGAACGAAGGGCGGACTAACCATCCATGCACCATCGTATGTTATCGAATGTAAATCTCCAAATCACGATCACCTACTTTGTCATGCAGGGTTTTTTTTATTATATCTTGNACATATTTTGTTTGTGGAAAAATCAAAACTAATTAGTGTTTTTACGATTTTAGCAATTTTTTTGATGAAGAAAGGGAGATTTATATCCCATGTAGCCTGCGTAGCTGGCCCTTTTAAGGGGCCTGGGGAGGAGAGGAAAGAAAAAGGGCCTGCAGACAAGGGTCCATGATTTGCCTCATCCTCGTACTCTCAGAGAACGAAGAATGTGATTGGTCGATACAATGCATATCAATCATCAGTATGTAAATCGAGCAGTTAAGCGAAGTTGCCGCGTAAATGACTCGTAAACATGATGGCGGATGCTCTAGAAGAAGATTTCGAAGACTTATTATTCAACAGTACTTACAAATGCCGGCCTTAAATTCGCACTAAAAGATGAACAGAAGCAAGCCATCAAGAATCTTTATTGCCGTCGAGATGTACTGGCGATATTTCCTCTCCTCCCCAGGCCCCTTAAAAGGGCCAGCTACGCAGGCTATATCCCATGACACATTGCAAACCGATTCAAAATGGCGGGCTTGTAATATGGACTATGACAAATTATCTGACTATTAAAATTAACAAATCAGCTAACCAACTATTCAAACAAAACCATTTGGCCAGCCTACAGAGTACATTCTGCTACAAAGTGGACAAACTAACCATCCTGACCAYCTAAAAGAACGAAGGGCGGACTAACCATCCATGCACCATCGTATGTTATCGAATGTAAATCTCCAAATCACGATCACCTACTTTGTCATGCAGGGTTTTTTTTATTATATCTTGCTGTCTCTTTCACTGACAATTAGTGTCTAACCTGATTGAGGACTGATTTCACCATGACGAATCAAGAARTCGAGCACAACCAACGCGCAATTGGGTTTGAACTCATTTGTTGCTATTTTTTCTTTGACCTGCAACAGCATTAAATTTAGAGTGGCGCCTGATATCAAGAAATCAAAAGACTCGGGGTACGATTAGATTTCTTGTGAGTCTCGGTCAGGGGGGGTGATCTCATATGCTTCGAATGGGAAGAAAGGAACTTCATCATCTCTATATGTGTCTTATATTGATATGCCTTTTATTGGAAATGATATTACCGTAAACATAGTAGACAATTGAATTAGTTACCGTATCAATAGGCCAGCAGTAGAAATCACTCACTTCACCGTCATTTGCATGAGGCTTGAAGTCTTCCGGRAGATGCAGATCAAAAACGAATTGCACTCCAGGAAATATTCCTTTCTTGTTCTCAAATATGAAACTGTCAAGGAAAGCAAACGTTGTTAAAGGGACATGAAAAGGGTCAAAATAACTATTTGTCTGTTTTTGATTACTTTGAATGGGAATTTCCCGCGAAAACTATGGAAAATGCAATGAAATAATGGGAACTTTGGGGATCAGTTTGTAGCAGCAATGATGATCACTGAACAGTTAGCTACCGAGATATGCATGTCATATTGATAGAAATCATAGATAATAGAGAATGCACAAAATCTCGTTTCAGTTACCTGACCRCCCCAGCAGGAACTGCAGTTTGTGCTAGATCTTCTGGAATGAATGCTTCTTCTTTACACTCTTTTAGTAACGTTTCAGTAATGCTTGATCGCCATGTTATACCACCCGCGACCTAATGAACAATAAAACCACTTTTTATACTATTGTGTCATGAAAGAGTGCAACGCATGCCTACAATGTTTTGTAATCCATTACTAAAACAGTTAAACCTTATCTCGCCATACGGCGGTGTGTATACTTTTCTCGTTTAGTMGCGCTAATTTGTACATATTGATCGTGTAGTATATCAGGCCCGTAGGCTGCCTTACAAATGGGGGGTTTCATTTTTTCATAATGTAGACCTAAATTAAATGTTTAACTAAATTAGTTCAATGCACAGTATAGTGTGAGAACTGCGTACTAGTATGAGCAGTTCATAACAAATTACTATCTCAAAAACAGTTAATGAAAAAAAGAATTTTAAAATAGAACAATAAAAAAATGAAACACCTGACCTTTTAACCTTGTGGGGGGTTCGTTCGAGCCCCCCGAACCCCTCCAGCCTACGGGCCTGTATATTTTACACCCACTAGTGAATGATCCAAATATTCAAGATCATGCGTCTTTCTAAATTGCTAAATAAGCATCTAAGAGACAGAATTCCATACTATTTGGTCTAGTTTTCCTGGTCCCGTTGGTTTGTTTGGACTTCTTCTAGCAATCCACATGTACAATTGCCCATTTGCCTTGGATCGAAAATAGCCGTTGACATGAACACCATATTGCGTAACACCAAACAAACCTAAAATGTGACATCATGGCGATTAACATGATATTGATAAAACACACATTGCATGGGAATCATCCATGGAATATCCTCGAGAAGACAATTTTTTCACGTCACTAAATCGAACRAGTTATTTGTAACTGTGCTTTGAAACATTAATTTTTTTGAGATTTTATTGTCTCTCTTCATCACTGAAGATGACCCATTTGGAAATACTATTACTACTACGAAAGGTATGAGGAATGTCTTTAGCACACATAATAATTTTAATGACATGTTTTATGTAATCTTTGAAAATGCTGATATTTTATTCATTATAGTCATGCAAAAAAGGGGGAACATTGCTACGCAAACATGCTATTTAGAATTCACTCACATGCTGCTGCTCGCTCTATCTTGAAAACTTTTGTCTGGTAGAATGTTTGCGATACACCAAAACACTAAAAGAAATTATTCCAAGTCATTAAATATAATACGATGATTTTGCGATGATTTTAGACAATATGCCTATTGCACCTTTCCTGCTATTGCAAAGAAAGGGCTGTCGGAGAAAAGGACCAATGGAAATTGAAGGACAAAGATTAGTTACGGTCGCATTACTTGATATTCAATCATATCCTCCTAGGGTTTGGCCTTATTCGAATTGAATGATCACCTACGTTCAGAAAATCGCGGCCGCGATGCACTCTCACCCTGATGGATGGTAGGACTAGTCGGTGAGAGTATCGCCATCGCGTACAACATCCCGACGACTAAAGACTGAGCCTAGTGAACAAGTTGGTCAAATATAATAGAGCGGATTTCGTATGAGTGGGAAACGGACGGYACTGTACTGTGACCGTAATCGTACTGTAACCAAATTCTAGTGCCCCCATTGGTTCACAAAAATTGTGCAGGCCAGGGTAAAAGTGCGGTAACCGTGCGGTAATTTCTACCGTACGTTTCCCACTCATACGAATTGACTCTRTGTTCACATAATTTGTCTCATGACATGATTGTGTGGCCATGGGTTGAATTACCGCAAAATATCGCCAAATGCAAACTTTTTGTATACCGCAGGGTCATCACAAGGTATACTCAGATCACGCGGCGGAATCACAGAATCCATGGATATTGATGATTATGGCAAGCAATATGCATAATATGCATGGTATACCCAATCTACACCATCGCAAAATGGAGACTAGCAGTTTGCATTTAGTCGAAACTACCCTGTAATGTATACTTTTGAAATCCTTTTTAAAGTATTCCATGACTAAGTCATCATTCCCCATTACATTCAAAAGACAAGACCGGCAACCATGTTGGTTGAATGAACAATAGATACCAATTAGCAATCCTTTGTTGAGGTTAATCCAAGCTRGCCGCTGTAACGTAAATTGCAAACGAAAAATATACTTTAGGAATGACTTCTTCCTCTGGTAGAWAGAAGGTACATAGTGGCAATACAACCATACCTCGTTTCTCCAACCTCTCAAAGCCACGAATACATCATTCTTTCTAAATTGTTGCATGACTTCTGCAATGMGTTTTGATCTATCTTCAAACGTTTTTAGTTCTGTAGCCAATGTCACGTGATCAACTGTCCCATCTTGTTTCTTGATAAGATTGAAAACATCAGGATGACTGCTTAGATGTGGTAAGACAAATGGAGGAATTGTTCCTACACGTACACCATCCACAAGAAACGGTCGGCAGTCTTTCTCCGACGATCCTATAGACAGATATATGTGAAAATAAATCTATCCATTGGCTGCCCAACTATTGTATGAGAAAAAAAATAAAAGAACGCGAGCTGCTCACGTTTATATAGAGCGGATTTYGTATGAGTGGGAAACGGACGGTACTGTACTGTGACTGTAATCGTACTGTAACCAAATTCTAGTGCCCCATTGGTTCACCAAAATTGGTAACTGTGCAGGAAACCGTGCGGTAACGGTGTCCCACTCATACGAAATCCGCTCTAATATCGATGCRCGGTCATAGTAAAATGCGTATTACCTGTGGTATTACGCCACGACCTCGTGCCTCTCATTTTGATTCAATAGTTGGGAAGCCTATGACCTATCGAGAATTCAATCGATTTCAAGGCGCATTCAGCTCCTCCATTTCTGATCGTTGTTATTTCACTTTTCAAAATATCTTAAGAATGACATAGCAATTTTGTTATTTTTTCAAGCGGTTTTGACTTGCCATATATTTCACAAACTTGTTTAGCAAAGCTGCTCGCTTCAGTCTATAGAACGCACGATAGAGAGCACGATGCCAGCCGTTGTTAAAAACAAAAACTGATGTGATCATTGATCAAGAGAACCTGTTCTACTAACTATGGTTTGACAGGACTGGAAGAACCAGTCAATTTAGATAAAAGACCGAGATAATTTTTTTTGTGTCTTGGACAGGGTAATATTTTCATAAGAAATACCGTCGAAATAGTAGAAATACCGTTTCACTGTACCAGGATTAACGTGCTATCAAAAGCTTCTTATTGTCTTTGATGGATGTCAGTATAATTGCAGTTTTGATGGTTGCGGCGTAGATAACTATTCTTTATTTTTCCGATTTGTCTTGAACAGGGTATGGATTTTTACTTTTTAGTGTCTTAAACAGGGTNAAAATGAATATTCGGAAGCTACCATGCTGTTATAACAGCAATTAGTTATATTGAGTGAGCATTGGAGATGAGTAATAACTGTTAGTATGATCTTGTTTTTCTCTTACTAATTGRTGATTTGAGAGCGTTTCTTTGGCGATGCTATTTCAATTACCTAACTTGATCCACAGCCTTTTTTCAGTACTGAATCATATTTTTACGCTCAGAGCTTAAGAATTGTTCATTCTCCGTTGATTATGTATTGATCGTTTTCAACCATTTCCATAAGATTCAAAAGATAAAAGACCGGCGGCCATGTTGGAGGAATGAACAAGAGATACTAATGCGAAATCCTTTGTCGAAGTCTGAAGTATGCGTGGTAACCAAACCTCAGTCTTTCCCTCCCCATCACGATGTAGGCTCAATCAGTGTTTTTGTGCCAGTTAACTGATAAGGAAAAAGCCCTAGCTGGACGATGAATCCAGCTGTCAATACATTTAGTTCCGTTATCTGTTGATGGATTAGGATTTGGTTAATTCGCCAATTAAACTTCCCGATCGAAGTTTCTTAATTAGACAAAGCATTTATGTTCGCTTTGCAGCTATTTGTCAAAATCAATCATAATTTGAATTTGGTTTCAAACATTCTTCTAAGTGTACTTATTCGATAATAAAATTTTTCTCAGTAGAAAATGAGTTACCCCCATCACGATGCTTAATTTTTGTCTTACACGGAAAATGAAAAACGTAACGAAATAGATTCATGACCATTTTTTTTGTGGTTCTCTAATGCAACAGTCTTTTACACACAAGAATAGAAGCTCCATAATCTTTTGTTTACCTTTTTAAATAAATGATTGCCATTTCTTTTGTGCTTTGTAGTATGGTTGAATTCGACTAAGCCGGACCCCTATTCATCATACCAAACCGTACATGTTTGATCGCCAAACAAAGCGTTAAACGAGCTTATTAGACACCGACCATATAGTTTATGCTTTCAATGTTGATTTTCTRCCGGATACAAAGAAACAACCGAATGGAGATTGGGAAGGTTTTTTTGTTCTAGCAGCCTCCATTAGAGGAGTTTATATGCATTGAATCAGTGTGATTCGAAAAGCTCAAAATTCTACGAGCGGAATCCTAAACAAGCCAATCCTTGATCCTTGTAAGCGAAACAGTATCCTGCTACCCTGGAAAATGGAGAATGSTTGCAAAACACAGTAGGTGTGCTGTTATGATTTATGGTCAGCTTCAACAATATCAGGGGTTATATAACTTGACAAATTGTTTGTAACTTCCTTTCATAAAATACAAACAGATAAAACCCACTCATAGTTTACAATACATTGATTTTCAATGATATTGTTTAAACATTTCACAACTATTCTTTCCAAAATCTTCTCGAAAAAGCAGTTTTGCAAGATAAAAATAGAACACCATACGCCAGCCGTTCCTTCTGTATCAGTTCCCCCTTCTTATGCAATTTACACGCACTTTTGCTGATTTTCGCACCGATAGCAAGCTACTGTTCAACTGTATTGAACAGAAAGCCTTAACTCAATAAAGATAGGATGGTACGCATACCTGGCTAAAGCTTAAATAAATAAGAAGGTAGATACAAAAACATTCGCAGCAGTTTTTCATTTTACTTTATAYAAAATCTGAGGAAATACTAAAATACCGGATTTACGCTACACTAATATGATGAAGAAAATGCTTTAGAATTTTTGGCGAATCCTACATCACTGACCATGCTATTCATATCTATTCCATTAAATCTCAGCCAACTGAGTTACCTTGTGTGCTGTAAAAGTTGTTTAATTCTGTGCGCAGGATGTTCATCATATTCTTGGACCATGGCGACTCGTCCGGATAGCTAGCTGTCTTTTCGATCATCGCTCGATCATCTTTTGAATCTTGCTGGATTGTTTTTATTATAGATAAATGATCGTCTGTGTTCTGATCCTGGCTAAACACACGGTCCGATTTTGGAACCACTTTGAAATCAGCTGTCTGTTCCAAGGAACACATGACAAAGTTTGTCCCGAGTGAAGAAGGTAATTCTGGGTAATGACCAAGATTTCTTATTTTGTGTTGCGTACACAAGTTTTAAAAAGAACTTTAACTTTTGTTCCCTGTGATCGCTTTTGTTCTAGAAATAGCCAAAATAATATAGAAGAACAAATATTGACAGTGTTGTTACATGTAAAATGTTTGCGTGCAGATGGCACCAACCAATGGGCGCCCCTAAAACGGTAATGAGTAAATACATCCCCGGCACTGTCCGTAAAAGAGGTGATAATTTCATAGAGATCCATAGAATATTAGATGGCTGAAGGCGTTATAAAAGAGCCAAGTATTCATTTAAATTCCTTACAGCCCGGACACCTCATTTGTTTCTGCATGAGCATATTAGAGCCAGAGTTAGTTCTCCTGTATAACTCTCTTAGAACATAGCACAATGAACGGACCAAGAAGCAGGAGCGTCGGAATAAGCCATAATTTCACAGCAGTTTTGTAAGGCTTTTACGCTAAGTGGATTCTTTTAATTCTAGTGTCATACCAGTGTTTTCACATTTAGCAAAAGAGCCACAGAAACGCCATATATAAATAGGTATTTGGAAATTGAGTGACCTTTTTAATGTGGTTATTATTTACTTTTTGTTATTTCAGCCTTCAGCATTTCATCCTCCCCAAAGAAGAGCCCGGTCGARAAAATGTTGATGTGATCATTGTTGGACTAGTATTAACTCCATTTTATTTGTACGGGATATTCATGGAAACTTTTTTTTTTCAAGCCTTTAGATATCACTTTTTCGTGCGGGAGGTTATACCTGGTATTTCATTGAAGTTTATATATAATAATGAATTTTATCTTCTCTCGTTGAAAATTTCTCGCTCGTGTGCACTGGAAAAAATCGCGCCCTTTAAAGGTTGTAAATTTGATGTAAATATGATGCAAGTTTCCAAAATTCTGTAAATTGAATGGACAGAATTTTGGACACTTACATCATATTTACATCAAATTTACAACCTTTAAAGCGCGCGATTTTTTCCAGTKGTGGGAAGATGATCTAACATATAGTTAACGACGTATCTACGAGTAGTCACGAAATACGGACTACATATTTTTATCTGATGTTATTATTCATTTACTTTTTTATGTATGGTAGTCTTTAACCATTCAAGAATTACCGCAATTTTTAACTATTCAGGTCAAAACGACGAGCGCGTTAATTGTTGCATTTATGTTTACTAAAAGCTTGTGGATTGTACTCTGCTGAGCGTAGAGTACAATTGCCGAAAAAAACGTTTGAGAATGATATGAACGCAAATTTCCATGTGTGAACTCCATGTATCAGGCYTCCTGTGTAGTCACGTGAGCACCTTTATACGTGTACAGTTGCAGACCTGGGTCACTAGCTTACAAAACCATGTCTTCGCAAAACAAGGATTTTAAACTAAATGGTGCGACAGAAATTACCGATCGCCTCATCAAAGAATGTACAAAAGCGAAGGAGTTCTCYTACTCGCCATATAGCAAATTTCGTGTCGGCGCTGCTCTTCTGACTGATGATGATGTTTTATTCACTGGCTGCAGCGTAGACAATGCGAGCTACGGACTATCCATCTGTGCTGAGAGAACTGCCATCGTGAAAGCTGTTAGCTCTGGCTACACCAAGTTCAAAGAAATTGCTATATCAGCAGATATGGTTGAATTTGTATCGCCTTGTGGAGCGTGTCGACAGTTTATAGCTGAATTTGGCCTGGACATTATTGTACATTTAGTGAATAGAGACATGGAGTGTCAGACTACTACCTCTGGTGATCTACTTCCACTAGCATTTTCTCCTGAACTCAYCAAGAGATACTCAAAGCAAATGAACATGAAGTGAGACCTGCCTTGCCCTGCCCTCCCYCTTCCCCCGCCCCCTCACTCGACTTTGGAGTAAATTAAGGTCTTTTCGTCCTTTGGGCCTCGGAAAGCGAACTGGGACAGACCTGTGGAAACAGTCTTGACCACATAGCCGGGAATTTAACAATGTTTCAACAACAACATTCCGCGGGGGAGTTGACGTCCAAAAAAATAGAAATGATCTGTTTATTTGGCTGTTTTATCTCTAAGAGCCAGCGAAGTGACGTAATTTGAACTTTGTTGAAATGTTTTAAATTCCAATTGACTCGTGCATTGTGCTCGTTGTATTTTCATTTCACAGTTGAGTTCTTAGAAACGAAAGTTCTTTTGCGACAGAATTTAAATTGAGTAGAAACATACATGCAACCTGTTAGGTCTATTATAACTATTATCAATGGCTAAATGTCAATAAATAGACCGATAAGCGTTGTTAACAGCTTTGACCATTATCCAAAGAGATTTTGGGATTTATCCAACAGATCTAGAGATGAAGCAACACACTGATCTCACACTGATTCGACTTTAATCAAGATCACGTAGAGAGTTGGCAGCTCTCCTCAGTTTTTCAATATTAAAATCATAG